CAGCAGAGCCATTGAAAGCTGGTCCTTATGGAACATGATGCCTCTGAGAATCCCAAGCCGGAGGACGCACAGGTGCAGATATTGCAAACTGTTACGTGGCACACGTGCTTGATTGACAGTGTGAGTGTATTTGTTTCGATGTGCGTGGCTGCTCCTGACCAATTCCTTGGTGAAACATAATGGTAGTTCTCAAATGGAGATCAAAATGGATGTGATTGATGTGATAGCTCTTAACTCTGGAATCCAAGTTAAAGATGCCAATGAAAGATGCCATGAAACATCATGAAACCGCGGAAATCACCAATGTCAGAAACGTCTTCGGGGACTTGCTATGGGACCATCGGGACCATTGGGATCTTTGCAGGTTGCATGTCGCATTTGCCTAGCGCGCGAGGGCGAGTTGTTAGCGCCCTGCCCCTGCCGCGGGAGCTTGCGCTTGGCCCACCTGGAGTGTTTGAAGAAGGAGAGATGACAGAAATGACTGTTCGATTGGAGCTATTTGGAACTTGAAAGATCTAAAAAAAGAGAAAAAAAACGCTCGGCTTTTTTTTTCCCGTTGCAATCTGCGAATCATCATGGATGCTTAAATTGATGGGTTGCGGCCGTGTATTTCTCTAGGGTTGGCGAGATCACACCAATGTCCAAGTTGGGCTTTGACCTGCAAACAGGAATTTCTGGCGCGAAGAGAGTGGACCCAACTAACTTGCTCCATTTGCAAGAACGAGTACCTGGCAGCAAGCTGAGGTAAGGAAGGTAGGGTTATGAGATTTTGTGAGCCACACACTGGGAAGACCAAAACCATTGAAATTTGCATTTTATCCTCATTTAATCCTCATTATCTAACCTCATTTAATTTGCATCCTGTTTCATGAACCTCATTTAATCCTCATTATCTAACCTCATTTAATTTGCATCCTGTTTCATGAACCTGATTTAATCCTCATTATCTAACCTCATTTATTTTGCATCCTGTTTCATGAACCTATGTATGTATGTATGTAGGATAAAATGAGGATTTGATGAGGATTTGATGAGGAAATGAAGATAAAACGAGGATAAAATGAGGATTTGATGAGGAAATGAGGATAAAATGAGGATAAAATGAGGATTTGATGAGGAAATGAAGATAAAATGAGGATAAAATGAGGATAAAATGAGGATTTGATGAGGAAATGAAGATAAAACGAGGATAAAATGAGGATTTGATGAGGAAATGAGGATAAAATGAGGAGAAAATGAGGATTTGATGAGGAAATGAAGATAAAATGAGGATAAAATGAGGATTTGATGAGGATTTGATGAGGAAATGAGGATAAAACGAGGATAAAATGAGGATAAAATGAGGATAAAATGAGGATTTGATGAGGAAATGAAGATAACATGAAGATAAAATGAGGATAAAATGAGGATTTGATGAGGATTTGATGAGGAAATGAGGATAAAACGAGGATAAAATGAGGATAAAATGAGGATAAAATGAGGATTGATGAGGATTTGATGAGGAAATGAGGATAAACGAGGATAAAATGAGGATAAAATGAGCATTTGATGAGGAAATGAGGATAAAAGAGGATTGGATGAGGATTTGATGAGGAAATGAGGATAAAAGAGGATTGGATGAGGATTTGATGAGGAAATGAGGATAAAACGAGGATAAAATGAGGATAAAATGAGGATAAAATGAGGATAAAATGAGGATAAAATGAGGATTTGATGAGGAAATGAGGATAAAATGAGGATTTGATGAGGAAATGAGGATAAAATGAGGATTGAGAATGAGGATTGAGAATGAGGATAAAATGAGGATAAAAATCAAAGGCAAAATCCGATGCAAATTTAATGAAGTTTCAGAATGAGGATAAAATGAGGATAAAAATCCAAGGCAAAATCTGATGCAAATTTAATGAGGTTCCAGGATGAGGATAAAATGAGGATTTCTTTTTTTTTTTGCATTTTCCAATACCTGGCTCGCAGAAAATCTCATAAAGGTAGGGATGGTAAGGCTTGGTAAGGATCCTTCTCCTTTGTGATGGGGACATGCACTTGGATCCATTTAGATGTTTTTCTCCACAACCCCCAGTATCGCAGATATTTCCACCATCGCAGTGGTTGCTGCAGATCATGGTGGATGTGGTCGCTGGATCCAGGTATGTGGCTCCTGCAGTTTTAGACTTAGCACGCCTTGCGCTGGAATGGGCCGAGGCCTAGGGGAGCGTGCCCCAAACTTGAATGCCGGTGGCCATAAAAACCACCCCCGGTCCCTAGGTGGCCAAGATGGATATTTCTAAAGTAGAGGATCCCCAAAAGCTTGGTTTCAACGTTCCAATTTCCTATCATGCTCTAATTTCGGAGGAGTGTTCCAACAAAACCGCACATCCCCTCTTTTTTCCAAGGACCCAAGGACCCAAGGACCTTAAACTTCGTCCCCATCAATCCCTCAAGCTTTCCCCCAGGCAGATTGGGGTTTGAAGACGGTGGGTACCTTGGTGGCAGCGGATCATCTGGGCCGTGTGCTCAGCGCTGCGGGGCAGCTGGAAGAGGCGGAGCAACATCTGCGCCGCACGGTGGATGGGCTGCAGGAGGTGCTTACGGGAAGTTGAGGGTCTTGGAGGATTTTTGTGAAACTTTGAGATCTTATATGATTGTGTAATTATATGATATTATATAAATATAGAATAATATAGATAATTATCGGATTTTATATTTTGTTGTATAAGACAATTGATCCATTTTGTGTGAAAACAGTATTCTTTGATTTTAGAGTCACAACATGTCACTGCCAACTGACTTTGTCAGGAAATACTTGAGTTTTGGGTGCAGTGGCAGCATGTCAGGAAAAAAACTTGTATTTGTCACTTCGAAAAGATTGCAGGGTCGTCCAGCGCAGAGACATGGGGTTTGAAAGCTGCTCCCACTATATCTGCGAACGACTTGCCCAGGTGGTTGGCATGCAGCATACAGAGACACTCATCGCGCAGTCCAACTTGGGGATGCTGTTGTGGCTCGGCACAGTCTATCAGCCATGCGAGGTGCAATGTTGTCAATGGCTCATATTTTAGGGTTTCCCAAAATGGGTGATCGCCAAGTCATGGGTTTCAATACTAACTGGTTTCATTTTTGATGATTTGGGGAATACACCCTTTAAACAAAAAACATCAAACAACTCCATATAGGGATCAGCTTTAGATCTGGGACCCTGCCAGTTCCGAAGTGAGGAACAGCCGCGGACGCTTCGAAGAAGCCGAGCAGCACGTCCGTGGTGCTTGGGAAGGAAGTCGTGGCCCGTGGCTCGCCGCGAGTGATCGTTGGGGATTGGAAGGCCACGTCGGAGCCTCTCAATGATCAGAATGGAACTTGGTAAACCTTGGTCCCACATTCAATTGCTTTGCTTTAGATTAAAGTATAGTAAGAATAGTAAGAGTTAGTAAGATAGTCCGGGTCCAGCACTATTCCAGGTTCTCCCAGCAGTTTGGCACCTGCCAGATTGGACTGCCCAGCTTTGTGAGACAAGGTCTGGCCAAAGGAATGCTGAGAATCTTGTCTTCGGAATGAATTTGGCAGTGGCACGAAGCTGAGCTGTTTGAGTGCGGTGGCTGACTGAGGAGACGATGGATCATAGTGACATAGTGCTGTATAATCCGTGTGTATTTCTTTGTACTGTGTCACTGTGTCATTGTGTTTTTATTGTTTGCGCATAGAAGTGGAAAAGCTTCTGACTGAACGGATCTCTTTTTTCTTCTCGGCCATTGGGCCATGGTGCATCTTCGCGTTGCTATGTAGTGGTGGTTTCCCAAGACTACAGGCCTTGTGTACCTGTGCACATGTGGTCCTTCAAAAGTGGAGACACATTCCAGGTGGGTAAAGCCAGCAGCCAGAGATCCGTTCAGTTCTTGAGAAACCACCGATAGCAACGCGAGTCTTCGCACCGTGGCCCCTAAGTTCACCATAGGATCCCCTTCCCACATCCTACCATCACCGTGTCAAAGCCGCACTTCCAGGTGCTTCGAGAACTGAACCGCCCTCGGGAGGCAGAGCCGTTGCTCCGTGAAGCCTTAGAGGGCTTGGACCAGCTGAAGGGAAAACAACATCCGGATGCGCTGGCAGCTGCGAGCCATTTGAGTGGCCTACTGTTGCACTTGCGTCACTGGTCTCCAAAATCGGACGCGGGGTGAATGCCAATGGATCCAATGGTAAAGCTTCACAAGGGCCATGTAAGACTCTAGATTTAGCAGCACATTATTCAGTTTCATAAGGTTTCACGATACACGGGACCAAATCAGATTTGGGATACTCGAGATGATTTTTACACATCTCCCCCAATACTGAGGTGAAGATTTGGGTGAAGCCGAGCCATTGGCCAGACGTGCCTGGGAGGAGCCTTCCTAAGAGCTGTGCTTCACAATATGGCTACAGTGGAATGAACGATGGCAACCTACCCTCTGGTAATTTAACATGGCCATTTATAGTGAGTTTTCCCATTAGAAATGGTGATTTTCAATAGCGATGTTAGTTTACCAGAGGGCAACTAGCTGTGAAACCAGTGCTCGCTGTGTGGTCAAATACGCATGTCCCGGCAAATGGTGTCCTTTTTGAACAGAATGGTGCAAGCGTTTCAGCATTTCTGCCCATGCTTTTTGTTAGCTGACTTTCCAGGGCAGCCTGAGGCACTTCGGTGTGGGCCTCAGATTTTGGTGTTTGGTGGAGCTCAATTTGTCAATTGGCCTTGAAAACAACAGCTGTGTCTCCTGAGGTCCGGACCATCCACGGTCCCTTTGTGCCAGCGCAGATTTGGGCCTGTTGCTACTGGCGCGAGAACGGCCCAAGGCGGGAGTCTCTTTTGGAATCAGAACGCCGGCCTCTAAAAGTGTTTGCAGGGTTCTTTTAGATTTGTAACTGGTTGGTGGTTGGAAACATGTTTTTCCCATATATTGGGAAGAATATAATCCCAAGTGACTAACTCATATTTTTCAGAGGGGTAGGTCAACCACCAACCATCATGAACCATATAATAATATAATAACCATATATTAACCATATAATGACCATAGATTAACAGTTTTTTAGAGGGGTAGGTCAACCACCAACCAGCTAAAATTTGTAGAACTCAATTTCTCAATGTAAAGCTGTGGCTCCTGCGTTCAGGAAGGCGAACAATTGCTGAGATCTGCGCTGGAAGGATTTCAAAAGCAGCTGGGTGAGAACCATCCGCAGGTGAAACTCCGGCTTTGGGTGGTCAAAGGATGGGAAAACATCAAAAAAGCCCAGAGATTCGACCAATTCGACCTGTGTGGCCCAAATACAGATGCTTGACATACCATAACGATAGGGATTGGCTTGACATTGCCGTGCAGCATGATGCCATGTCCATTTGTCCATTTCTTTCCTGTCACCGTCCGTGTTTTTTTCCAGGCACTTTCGACGGCTGCCGACCTGGGCACTGCCTTGTTCGCAGCTGGGCGAAAGGCAGGGGGTCCAAGTTGCATTGCTTGCCTCAAGGGGATAATCATGGATAGTCAATTTCTTTCGGTTATTTTGTTAGAGTTACAGTTACCCTCTGGTTATTTAACATAGCCATGGAAAATGGTCCATTTATAGATGGTTTACCTATTAATAGCATGGTGATTTTCCATGGCTATGTTAGTCATAACCAGATGGTATTTTGTTAGAGTTATGTTCACTTGATGATTTGCGAATCACCATAAGTTCTGGTGTGTTGATCCAGATGCATGTCTAAATGCAGGATGGGTCCTCCATTTGGCCTACCATCTGATTTTTGTGAAGACACACAATCACCCAATCTGCAGCAACTCCAGACTTAGTTCTCTTCAATTGTGGCAACCTTCCAACATCTTCCAACTCAATTGCTGGAGATCCTCTTTCCCTCCATGGGCCCCATGGGGCCCATAGCTCCGCCAGGAGGAGTCCTTGATCCCGTTGCGTGCGGCCTTGGAGGGGCGTCGGAAGCTTTTGGGCTCCGATCACCTGCGAAGCCTGGCCTCGGCGCATAACATGGGAGCAGCTGAGCTGGAAGGATATCGATGTGTTTCCGGCAAGAACCGGCAATAACTTGGACCACAAAGGGAAGCTTTTGACAAACTGATACAAACTGTAAGCAAGATCTCTGGTACAGGGCCTGATTGCCTTGCAGCAATCGAGTTTTGGCGATCTCAAAATCATCCCCAGAACCCCCAAGATATATCAAGATATGTCATGTGACTCATGTGTTTTGTATCCTGTGTCATGTATTGTCATTCCCATCATTCCCCAGCACGACCTGAGGTCGCTTTAGCGGAACTGCACGAGGTGGATGAGGCGAAGAAACTGCTCCAGGTGCAGAGCTTGGAGCGCTTGTGAAACACAGCAGCTGCGCCGTTTAATGCGTTGCACGCACCGCATGCGGCAGGCTGCCTGGGAAGGCCGTGCGCAGAAGTTGGGAGCTGCCCACTTTCGGACCTTGGCCTCTGCCAAGCGTCTTTTGCCACTGCTTCGAGTGGGCGTCTTATCTGTGACACCAACATCTGCAAATCTGCGTTCTTTGGACACAAAATGAATCAGAATCTTAGCTCACTTCGAACGAGATTATGCACATCACAGGTTGACTTGTAGCCAAGTTGAGCGCCAGGGGCCCGACGAAGAAGCCTTGGCTGCCCAAGCCCTGCGAAGTGTGTGGGAGGTGCCAGAGCAAAGGTTTGAAGCTCTCACCGCCATGGATGGCAAGCAATAGCCAGAAACGTTTGAAATGCAGCAAGTGCGCTTCATCATGATGATGATGATGATGATGATACCTCTAAGGGACCAATTGGGTGTGGAATTTGCCAACTGTTCGTTGCAGGGTGAGACGGCAAACCTGGGAGCGTCGCATCCGAAAGCTGTGCAGGTGGCTGCAGGTGGCACATCTTAAGTGTCGACCTTTTACGGGTATTATGTAAAGAAATGACATATGCTGTATACTGCATACATATGCATACAATTGCATACATAATAATTATGTAGTATGATATATTGCATATTATCGAATGGACAAACATGAAGTATGTAGACAGTTTATGCCGCAAGAACATTTGTAGATAGCATCAAACCGTAGGCTGCACTGTGAACCCGCAAGGGCCGATGCATTCTGTTCAGGCTGCAAGAAAGTTGGCGCAGTGGCTTGCGAGGCTCCAACTCAATGTTTCAAAAGCCATTTGGAAACATATGAATTTGCTCAGCAATGGACATTCCGAAATCATCCAGCTATGCTGCAACTGTGGCTATAGGAGGCAGCTGCTCTTTGAAGCTGAAGCTGTCTTGGCACATGCCTTGGCTTCTGCGCAGGCCGTTCAGTAGCCAGAAACTATTGAAGGCTTCATGAACCATCATGAATCAGACACATTTCAATAGAGATATCACTTGATACCACTATGATATCACATCCAGATGAAGCTTGGAATCAGTACCCTTCACATCCCTTCACTGTCATTCAATGCAAACGCAAGTTTAACATCTTTAACAGCCAGTCATCCAGGCAGAAGAAGCACAGCGGGCAGCTGAGGAAGCTGAAGCCGAAAGCACCTCTGCGGGAGCCAGCGAGGATCGGATGGGGTTGGGTCAGGTGCAGACTGTGCAGACGCCATGGTTGATTTGGGGTTGATAAGACGTTTCAACCCTGACTTCATCCCTTTTTCATGCGGGTGTGTACGGTTTTGAGTCTGCAAGGCAGAAGTAAGCTGAGAGGTCGGATGGATAAGAAATGTGGATTCTCTGGTTTGTTCTCTTCTTCAAGGGCCTCTGAGAATTCTGAGACTGGGTGAACTACTATGAACTTTACATAAAGTTCGGCCTGCACGAACTTTGTAATTCTAGACATTGTAGACCAGAGCTGCATTGTGGAGTACTATCTGGTTACTTAACATAGCCATGGAAAATCACCATTTTTAATAGGTAAACCATCTATAAATGGGCCATTTCCCATGGCTATGTTAAATAGCCAGAGGGTATCAATTTATGGGCTTTATGATAGTGATGGAGTGATCGCGGCGATCAATTTATGTGTGCAGCAAGTCGGGCACTGCAAATTTGGCGCAGCAAATTTGGCTTTGTCGCTCAAAGACAAAGCCGCGGTCGATGTGGTCGATGTTGCAACCAATTGCATCCAGTTTCCGCTCACAACGATCCTCCATTGATGAAAGCACCTCCAGGTGATTGCAAGTACCTGCATGACAGTCATTGCATGCAGAACACGCACAAGATGGCATAGTGGCATAGAACCCCTTGGATACCCACATTTCAATTGAGTAGTTTTCAAAACCCCTGTTGATTGAAGATTATATGGGCTTCTACTACCAGTATTCTACTATCCTATATACTGCGCATTATCACAGTTCATTATGGAAACTCCTACTAACCAGCCAGTATTTTTAAGGACGGCAGATGGTTTTTTCGAACCATTCAGCTCGCATAGCCCAGTGCCTCGCCGATCACCACTGGCTAATCTCATTGAATCAAATTGAGGCAAAACACGCCATCAGCATTGACATGGATCTGAAAAAATGATGAGGGTGGATCCAGTTCAAACATGTTCAAACCAATCTTACCCAACTCTCTATACAGTAGTTATTTGCATCAGCATCTATCTACCATCCACAACTCCAAGGGTGAATCGGGGCAAGCCCCGATTCACGATCGTCCCAGGACGAGCGCCCTTGCGATGAGAGGGCAGCGCGCCTTCTCCAGTGTCTCTCCCAGGGTGTTGGTTGAAGGAATGGTCACAGTTATCGGTTCCTCCTGAGAGCGACACCTGAACCGTCTGAGCAATGGGACTAAGTTGACTAGATCCAAATGGCATTTGTTCATTCAAATTTCATCATATATTTCATCAAATGTTTATGACTTTTTGTGCTGAAGCCATGGACAGCAAGCTCTAGGGGAGCTGACCAGGTCTGCTTTGCTTGGGCCCTCCTTCAGCCCAGCCAATTGCTTGGCCAAGTTGGCGGCGGCCCAGCAACGACCCTCGCCCTCCAAAGTGCTGAGTGCAGATCTCCAGGACGGGGCGACGGTGACGACGGCGCTGGTGGACATTGCCAGGAAACCACAGGACTTGAGGTTTCCCATCGAATTCAGGGGTTGAGGGGTTAAGCCACAAAAAAAAATTACTTTACTTCGAGTTATCCCCACCATGACATTTATACGTTTTGTTACTGGCAAATCTTCTGGCATTCTATCTGACATATCTTCTGGCATTTTATCTGGCATATCTTCTCGGATTCTATCTGGCATATCTTCTGGCATTCTACCTGGCATATCTTCTGCAATATGTTCTGGCATATCTTCTGGCATTCTATCTGGCCGTTGAGGTCCGGCAGTGCCCACTGGGATCTGGAGCTCGTGGTTGAGGTCTGGCAGTGCCCACTGCGATCTGGAGCTCGCGGTGGAGGTCCGGCAGTGCCCAATGCCCACTGGGATCTGGAGCTCGCGGTGGAGGTCCGGCTGTGCCCACTGGGATCTGGACTGCGAGGAGGAGGACGAGGAGGAGATGGAGGAGGAGGCGGAGGAGGAGGAGAACAGCTCTGATAAAATATAACAACCCTCACCTGGCAGGTGGGGAAATATACGATTCCAGATGATTCCAGATGATTCCAGATGATTCCAGATGATTCCAGATGATTCCAGATGATTCCAGTATTTTCAATTTTCCTGTCAAAGGGTTATCAGGAAACATTTTTACCATCAAAAAACATGGGAAGGCCTGTAGTTTGCTGCAGATTATTATTGCAAAACCGTTGTGGGAGTCTGGGTATGTTGCTCACGAGCAGCCAATTGTGGTTTGACCGGCCGGCAGGATCTGCAAGATCGCTGCTTGGTTTGCATCAAGGATGACCTTCATCTTTTCAAACAGTTGTATCTACTGGAAGGAGTACGTTGCCACTAGCCGCGCGCATGCACCAAGGCCTGGAAAGATTGCAAGAAGCTGAAGAGGCCGAGGACTGCAAGTGTTGGTGCGAGTGCAGATCGCCGAAACATGCCAAGAGTTTCCAAAAGGCTATTTCACCACGAGAGCCACCAGTGCTATGAGCCCAAACATCTTCTAGAATTGTGCATTTCACACCACTTCACATACTATATTCTCCTGAGCCATAAACTCTTAATTCAGAATTGCTGACATCCAAGCAGGAAGCGATGCCGCCACTAAAGAAGTTGCGAGGCACAGCATTGCACAATGACTTGTTGAAAGCAGGCGATTTGTGACTAGGAGTAAGCCGCTGAGCATTGACCAATATAGCTGGATCCATACATGAGTTTGTCTATTGCAGGGAACTCGACATTGTATAACTTCTTGATGGCGTGAGAAGCCTTTCAAAAGGACAGTTAGGGTCAGTTGGGTGTTTTTCAAACTTGAGGTATACCGGGTACTGTACCAATTCCTAACCATTGGTTGTCACCATTGGAATTTGTGAATCTGTTTTCCTTTCTTTTTTAGGGGCCAAAAATTTGACCATGGAAGATCTGAACTGCTGGACAGGCTCAGAGTCGACAGACGAGCAACAGGAGCATGATGAAGATGCAGCCCTTGGTCATCTGGGTCGGTCTGAAAAGGAGGTGTGCCAAATCAAATGGCACTACATGGCACTTCACTGGCATTTTTTTAAGGATAAACCAGCAGATTTTAAGGGATGCTCAATTTTCAGACGAAATGCAAAAAAGGGAACGAAGAGAGCGTAGCCTCACTAATAGCCTCAGGTATCTGAGTTTGCTGGTCCTCAATTGGTTTGCAGATTTTCCACATCGGAGTTGATCAGCATTTCTGTGCAGGATGTACCTGATCCTGAGACCTGAGCGGAAGGAACAAAAAGATGCACATGCCAAGTTGCTGCAGCTGGATCGTATGTAATGTAATTGTATATGTATCATATATATATATATATATTCATGTACACACATATATATATATATATATATATATTCATGTACACACACACATATATATATATATTCATGTACATATATATAGATAGATAGATAGATAGATAGATAGATAGATAGATAGATAGATAGATAGATAGATAGATAGATAGATATTACAAGTTATTACGCTAATTATAGCAATACATAGCATATGATATATAGATTTATACAACATTTTATTGATCTCCTGCTTTGACTACTGGATTGCAAACTTGCTATTCAGAGTCGTAGAGTCATTGTAATGTGCCATGTGCACGTTCGAATTAAGACGAATGAATCCTTGGGGCAACCTATGGCTTCAACTGGCCTTATGCTTTGCTCTCTTAGTTTGGATGAGACCACCTGGACCTCAATGACTTGCGGAATTAGTCAAGGACCATCAAAGGTCTGGATGTGGTACCTACAGATTCCTTGTATCCGTAGTATATCCTGTTCTGTATCCGTCAGGTGCCCCGGAGCGGCGGTTGAATCCTGCAGCTGCGGACTCACTGACTTGCTTATGAATCATCTGGGTATGGATCAATACCTATGAAAATACCATTTTTAGTGGGTTATTCACATCCATTTTAACCCAGCTATTTTGATGTGAACTACAGGGGTACTATTGGTTTTGACCCATCCCCATCTGAGTTTTTTTTTGGTTTCCATTTGACGCTCCAGAGGAACCGCAACTTTATTGGTCCATTGGTGCAAGGGATAGGGCAGCTTCGGTTGGTGTTGCGGACGGCTGAAGTTGCCAGTCCCTGGCCTTTGTGAAATCCCTCAATGCGGCCATCGACCCAAGAACCAACGAGCCGGAAGGCGCTTGTCAGCAGCCTGCTATCGGTTGCAAAGGAAAGGGCGAGCGTTTCATTTGTCATTATTTTTTACTAACCAGCATCCCCTTTGTTTTTTTCATACCACTATGGTTTCCATATTATTACCACTAATGGATATTACAACCACTAATGATCACTAATGGATTCAGTGCTTCAGCACTGTTTTGGACCGCAAATGGCTGCAGGTTGCGGTACGGTCATGGAGATTTGCCAGCCGCCGGCAGGCTTTAACGTACAAACCTCGCCAGGGAACCGAGGATTATTGCGGGTTGAGACTCAAACCGCAGAGCAAAAGTCGATGGATAGCATAGAGAAGTCGGGAGCGCAACGGCTACCCAGATCAAGATCAAACAAATACAACAGGTACCCGAAAGCAACTACTGAAAGCTGGAACTCTAAATGAGTGTGTTGCGTCAGGCAACGAAGAGTGTGTTTCTGGCTCTAACTTCTATTGAACCTACCACTAACATCCATTAGCACTTGAAATCTCTCCATTACGAGCTGAACACCAAAACTTCTGCGAAAGTTGCCGCCTATCTCAAGGTGTGTGTGCAGCGGAAACTGGGACTATGCAACTGGTCGGCAGAGGGTGGAACTGGTGGAGCATTGCCAGCAGAGGGTGGATAGAACATGGTAGCATAGATTAGCATAGTGTATATATATATACATTACATATATATATATACATACATATATTATATGTACATATACTCATAGATTATATGTACATATACATATGTATAATCGATACGATCTGAATTGACATGATAGAACTTGGTCTGTTCATGACATCATTCAGCTTCTTCAGCTTCAGGCACCTGTGGGAACCACATCGCTTCCACCAACTGCAGCACCCACTGGAGTTGAAGCAGTGCTGCCCAATACGGAGGGAGTCGCTACTACGCCACCGGAGAATCTTTACGCTGAGAGCTCAGCATCCTTAGCTGCTGTTTGTTTTTCCCGTTTTGAAAAAACAGGCTGAATTTGCTGAATGAACATCCCAATGAACATCTGAATGAACTCAGAATGATGAGAATTATGGGATTCATTGGGATTCTGACTTTCCCATTGGTTTTTGTGGGATTATTGGTTAGTTCCCAACCATCTTTGAACTCAACGTTCTGATGATCTGTTGCTTGGTGATGCCTTAGTGATGCCTTGGAACTGTTAGGCTCCAACTGCCACTGCTGGGACACCCAGAGTCGACTCAGCAGTTGTGATGTTCTGAGACCAGAGAAGCCGAAGAATCAAGCATAATTCGCTTGGAGAATTATATATATAATTCTGGGTAAATTTGATCACGACCTCACTGTCCTCCCTCACTGGAAATCATGGTTAGTAAGGGAAATGATCCCCAAGATAGCCTTAATTCAGGTTAGTGAAATATTGTAATTTACCCAGATAATTGCTTTGCCATCAAGTCCTGATGCTGACAGATATGGCAACAGCACAAGTTCCTTATGTTCCTTCCCCTAGAATATCTTGGAAAGGGCACAAGCATCACATTGCTGGGTCTATTTGCATTTGCTCCTTGTGCCTTGTGCCACAGGTGGTTACACTGCAGCCACAGGCCTTTTTTGTCGGGACCGTCCGTGTAGCAGACCATTTCCTGTCGCAAACGACGTGAAGTGCATTGGAATAGGCCTCACTCTACGGTCTTCAAATTGAAATTGCATCCTTTGGCTTCATTATGCTTTGAGATTTTGATCTATTTTGCACAACCTCCTTCGCATGACTCGTCCAGCAAATATTATTTGAACATATTTGAACATGTTTGAATGTATAGATATGTGACATGTGTTGAGATTTTTGAACATGGATATTTGCTGAGAATTTTTGCACAGCAACACGATTACATGCCCTTGGTTCTGCTTCCCGGTGCTGCAGACTGCATCCAGTGAAGCTCCAACCACAAGTGTAGCTTCCAGTGCGTCACAGTCCCAGCGGCTGCGACAAATGGGTTGGTCAGGGTATATATATATATACATGTATGTGTATGTGTATGTGTATATGCATATGCATATGCATATGTATATGTATATGTATATGTAGATATGTAGATATGTAGATATGTAGAAATGTAGATATGTAGAAATGTAGATATGTATATATGTAGAGATGTATATATGTAGAGATGTAGAGATGTATATATTTATATATGTATATATATATATATGTATATATGTATATATATGTATATATGTATATATGTATATATGTAAATATGTAAATATTTATATATGTATATATGTATATATGTATATATGTATATATGTATATATGTATATATACATATACAGGATGTATAGATTATTTGTTGTTTCCCGCACATGGAGTAAACATCAAAATCCATGGGTCACGGGCCAATCTGACGTCAACCGAGGCGAGAGTGGGCCACGGTCAGATCTGGTAAACTAACAGTTTGCTATGGAAAATGGCCCATAGAAATAGATGGTTTACCTAGCTATAAAAATGGTGATTTTCTACAGCTATGTAAACGTTTACCAGAGGGTATCCGAATCACAAGGAACCTGAAATGCACGGAATACGCCACATGAAATCTCTTGGAACCGAATGTTGATCTGCTGCTTTGTCAAAGCTGTGGAGCTGCCCTTGACATCCTGGGCGGAGGCAGCGGCGCCAGCAGCTACGGCAGATGTTGTTGCAACAGGCCCTGCGCCGTGTCTGCCGCTGTGTCGGCAAATTTCTGAACCTTGCCGTGTTGCAGACAGAACGAGTTGTTCTTACAGCATTTGATGTTCGGAACGTGTTAACTTACATGGGTCACGCACGCAGTGTTTCTCTGTAGCCGTTGTGGGTCACAATGTTTAGAAGTAGAGACTGTAGAGACCAGAGCCATGTTGTCACAGCAGGAGCTGGAAGCCTTATTAAATCTCATGAAGGAGCCAAGCAAGGCCTTCGAGGCCATCGCTGTCAGCTTCTACAAGAACTTCACAAAAGCTGATCAGTTCAAAGCTGGCTGTGTGATTTGCATGCTCATCCAGGACGGGATGGCTCAAAATGCTATTTTAGTATATGTAGTGAAATTATTCAAAGCACACTTCTGTGATAGTATATTTATTTTATATATGCATTTTTTTAAAATTCCAGGACAATCTTTTGACGCAGACCCAACGAATGGTTGGATTCTATCTCCTCTATGACATCTACCGGAATGAAGGCCAAGCAACGACACCTTTCGTTCCCTTGGTCCTGGAGATTGTCGAACAAACCAGTGATGCGGCTGAGAGGAAGTTTCTGCTGCAGTTCCTTTCGTCCTTGCCTAAGGACCTGCCCAAGCAAAGCGTGCAGAGCTTCCTGCAAAGCTGCACAGGAGATGAACGAGAGATCGAATTGCCGGATCTTGAGGCTTTCCGGCGCATGCATCAGGAGAGTGCTCCTACTGTGAGTGCCTCTGCTGCTCTGGGTGTGAGACCTGTGATAAACGATGGCTCCGAAGGCCGCTGGGTGTCGCCAGATGACATCTCCAATGTTTCCTCCAGATTTCCAGAATTTCCCTTGGAACTCAACTCAGAGGAATTGACATTGCTGTCGCTGGAACCTGCTTGGGCCAGACCTGTCCCTCCCCTCTTGGAGGCAACAGTCGATGAGGTCTTTTGGCTCTCGCCTTCGCAACTGCTCTCAGAGCCGTTGTGGGACTATACCATGTGTGTTGACACTTCAAGAGGCACTGAAGTCAAAGAGCTGATTGGAAAGGCGGTGAAGACTCCCTTGCCACCGAATCAGGCACAGGTGATTGTGGATGGTCTTAGTCAGGATGCCAAGTTGGTGTACCATTGCGGCATGACTCCCAAGAAACTTCCAGAGCTCGTTGAAAACAACCCGCAGATCGCCGTGGAGGTCTTGTTGAAGCTCATGGGCAGCTCACAAATTAGTCTCTACTTCACGGCCTTGGTGAACATGGAGATGAGCTTACATTCCATGGAGGTAGTGAACCGATTGACCATGTCTGTGGATCTTCCACCAGAATTCATTCATCTCTACATCTCCAATTGCATCTCTTCCTGTGAGAATATCAAGGACAAGTACATGCAGAATCGTTTGGTGCGCCTGGTGTGCGTGTTCCTGACCTCGCTCATCCGCAACAAGACCATCAGCGTGACTGATTTGTTCATCGAAGTGCAGGCTTTCTGCATAGAGTTCAGTCGTATCCGCGAGGCAGCGAGCCTTTTTCGGCTACTCAAAACTCTCGAAGCAGAGAGTCCCGGTCCCCAGCTTCGCAAAGACTCAGCCCTGGCCACGTAGAAGAGGAAAAAGCTGCTCTCCGGAATGGGATAGCGACAGAATGTGAAACATGTGAAACTGAAGTTGGAAATTGATCGTTTTTTTTACTTGCTGGCAGCGCCACAAGAGAGGTAGTACGGTAGTTGTCATCCATACCCCAGAGGGTTTCAGGGAGACTTCAGTCCCTTCAACGACACGTTGTTCTCAAAACACCAAACACCAGCTTCCCAAGTGAATCAAAGTGAATCGGCATGGCCCTGTTGCCAGGGCGACACCTCAGGCGAGTGCTGTTCGATGGTCTGTGATTTTGTGGAAAAATGATCAGGTGATCCCTGTGATCCCTGTGATCCCTGTGATCCCTGATGTCAGCTGCGTCAGGGAAGATATCGGTCCCTGGTTGGGTTCCCTTGGTGCTTTTTGCGGCAAATGGGGGAACGACGACTTCGTGCGTGGTGAATGGGTGCGCAGCTCTGGATCCATGCAGAGTTGGCAAACCAGCTCAGTTTTCTTGAGATGCTTTGTTTCTTCGAGACAAAGGTGAATATCTAGTGAATATCTGGTGAATCTTGACTTTTCTTTTTCTTCATATCCTCATCACATTTCCATACATTTCCCACATGTCCGAAAGTCCCATCTTTGGATATTTTCGATGCCAGTGCTTCGTCCTTCCCAGCCAAGAGTGCCAGCCCAATGCGCGGAGTGCCTTGGTGCGGAGGGTTACCCGACTGGCACCTGACATGGATGCCATGTTGGGAACTCCAGGGAAACCTTACAAATTTCAGCATGGTCCCTTGAGAATTCCTCATGTGTCACAACTCTGCTTCAGAATCAAAGCAGATGATTCATGATGATTCATATTTATGAGCTTTGCCAAGGTCCGATTTCCAAGTGTTGCATGTTACTTAATGGGATGATTTCATTGGGATATAGGGCGTAACAAATCCCCAGTTGCTAACCAGGAATCGCGTCAGCTTTCCCATGGCCCAGTTACTGTTACCCTCTGGTAAACTAACATAGCTATGGAAAATCACCATGTTTAATGGGAAAATCTACTATTTCTATGGCCATGTTCAATAGCAAACTGTTAGTTGACCAGAGGGTACAACCACCATGTTTAATGGGAAAATCCACTATAAGTGGTCATTTTCAATAGCTATGTTAGTCATTACCAGAGGGTACTGTTCCTGTTTCTGGGGAACCTCCGTCGAAACCCCGCCGTCGTCGATTTTTCGCCTAAGGTCAGTACGTCTCGACACGTGGCTATCCGATGATCAGATCGACTGCACCATGCTCCAGCGAGGTGGACTCGAGGCGCTGAGTCATGGCGGAATCCCGGCTTTTGAAATGGGAAAATCATAGGAAAAACATGGGAAAACCATGGGAAAACCATGGAAAAAAACATGGAAAACTGAGAAATGGAGGTTTTTGACTGGGAAACTCATCTATGAGGGAAGACCTCGGACTTGAACTGGATATTTGTGAGGCACCATTTGGAGATGCTAAATAGGTGAACAAGGCACAAACATGATGGTTTTCTAGGCATGTTGGGCCTCAACGGAATTTTGCCTTGCAGGTCTGCACTTTTGCTTCTTGGTCATGAAGAGGCCGTGATGCTGTCTGGTGTGATGATGAACTTGCAGAGCCATGTGCAACCTTTTTTGTTTATTGGAGATGGATTTATCCCTGCCAGAACCACAATTCAATTCAGGCAAGGCAATGTATTCAAAAGCGTGGACATCATGTGCACAGAGGGGAGACAGTATGAGACAGTACTGCACTTGAGGATTAGTGAACTGCGCTGGCTACATGTGTATTGCAGCCGGTTCCAGGGCATGCTGGCTTTAGACATACATAGAAGGGCAATGGAAAACCTACACTGAACCCAGTTGCCAAAAATTCAATGTGTACTGAGAAACGATGGCTAACATATTATGAGAATCGGAACGTTTGTCAGATTCGGCTTGCGCGCAGATGATGAACCCCTTGAAGTTCTCTGCTCTCCTGGGGGCAGCTCTGTTGCTACTTGCAGGTGCAAATCTAAGCTTTTCGTCGCACCAATAGGGGTGAGTTTGTCACAGCAAACAGAATGCTTTGGATTTCTCATATGGGTGCAAGTCAAATTAGAAGGTCCGGACCAAGTTCCGGGACCACACCCGTTCCATACCCCCGTTCCATACCACCGTTCCATACCCCCGTTCCATACCTGTTTGAAGTATCCATTCCATACCTCTGTTCCATACCTCGGATCCATACGTTATAATACATACTAATACATATAAATACATAATATATATATAATATGTATATAGATAGATATTTGAATGTGCGATCTGATTTTACATGTGTACTCACATACATGAGTGCATACATGCAAGAATACGTTTACTCTGCCCAAGCCCTGTGATTGTGTTGGCAAATTCTGGTGGTTCGAATATCTTATTTCCCCAAAAGGGCACCATTCTGAGGTACTGGCTACATGCTGAGTCTCTATCCCAGTCACGAAACGAAGTACGAGGCTATGGAAGACGACAACTTGCACCACTCTTGGTGCCTTTGGTGCAGGAGCATCAGGAACACCCCATAGTTTTTACCTTAGTGATCCTTGGTGCCAGGCCCTGCGAAGCCAGCCACCTCGACGACAGCAACGAGAGTCACCCATACATGCATCTCAGCTATGCTCAGCTTTGGCGGAGGGTTTGGGACGCTGTGACATATCACTGTTTTACTGCTTTTCAAACATGTTTCTAAATTTCTTGATGTTTCTGCCTCATGTTGTCCCCAGTGTTCCAGTAGACAGCAGGATTTGCAATCCTGAAACATCGTGACAGGGAGACCATTCATGTCCTGCTAGCATGATTCATGCCGCTAATTCGCCGGTAATTCAGACCATCTCAGCTCACCCACCCAGCCTGGTTCAGCTCAAGTGGTGGTCATTGTAGTATATATATATAACTATATAATTAGATAATTGTAGATTTATAATATACATATATATTTGAATTCAAATCATCTACAATCATCTCATTTTGTTGTTTGCCTCGCTCCAGACTCCTTGCGTCAAGTCGTGCGTGTTTGCCAAGGCACAGGCGGACATGATGTATTCGCCTGAAGTCGTTGAGCAGCAGCCTCTTGGTGAAACTTTAGCACCTGGATCTAACATGATCTAACCACTGGAAGAGGGTCCAATGCCCAGGAAATCCAGCTACAACATGCAGAGATTTCAAGAAGCTCAAGCAAAGGCAAGGCAGCAATGGGATTAGATTATGGTTGCTTCATTGAAAAACATGCGCCAGCGACTCCTTGACTTTCTTACAGACGGACTTTGAATCAAGCTATGTACTCGGTAGGACCACAACCATGATACCTTGCCCCTGATCGATTCATGCTTTGGCCATCTCTTTGAAAAAGGATGCTTAACTTGCGCATGAAGATCGTCAGGCAGTCAACAAGCTATCGCGAAGCACGCCAGAGAGTTTGTGCAGCCGACATGTCTTGGTCGCCGCCTGGTCACTGCCGGTACAACCAGAGAGCTGCTGTGATCTCCGCAGGCGCAACCAGATCTACGCCTACTACAAGCAGGCTACAGAAGGTGATGTCCAAGGCAGGGCACAGGGATCCACAACTGCCAGATGCCTCAGCCATGATTGTTCAATGTTACCAAATCATATAGAATTAACATGAATTAACGACTTTGGAGATTTTCGGATTCTGTTATCCTTCATATATCCTTCATATCCATTCATATCTTTTATTTCCATAAATTTGCTAAAATTGAGCAATCCTTAAACATCTTAGATCATCTTAAATCACATTTAGAGGTTTTTGTTGATCGCTGTGTCCAGGCGACGGCGACAGGCCTGCCTACTTCAGCCAAAAAGAGCGTGCAAAGTACGACGCTTGGGTCGGAGCCTTTTTGGGGTTTTCGGTGGAGCCGCGCGACGTGTGTCGCGAGCTCTGACAGCCGGAAAGAGTTGTATCTGAATGATGTCAAATGATATATAATGATATATATATATAAAGCGGTTAGGCAATTATAAGATGATCTTGGCATGTTGAAGCTTGATTGCAGTGCGATTTCCAAGGTCAAATGTAGGGGCATGTCCTTTGACGCTGCCGTGGACAAGTGCCCGGATGCAGGTTGAGCTGTCCTTCGTTTGCGCCTCCCCGGTCTCACCTGTCAGGTACTGCCAAGTGGTGGATCAAATCTGATCCCTGCGTTTCATGTCTTAGTTTGTGGGTAGAAGTTGCAAGAAAGTACCTGAAATAGAAGTATCTCTATACGGATTTCAAAGACTATAACTATCGTCTTTTCAAGATGTTTCACCATAAGAATACCTAAGTGCCCATGAGGGTCAGGCTGTGGTTTAACTACAACCGCATGCTTGTCTTTGCGGGCCAGTCCGGCAGATGCTAAAATTCAATGAACATAATGAACTCGACACGTGTCTGGGCCAGCACCCCTCCGGGATGTTTCTTGAATGGATACTGGCACTGGAGAGAACTTTTCAGCTGTGCTTCAGTCTTTTGGAGCTGGACTGGCATCGGTTGCGCGAATGCTGAATTTCAAAAAGGTCTCGGTAGACTCGGTAGACGTGTGAAATCGTGTGACGATGGCACGAGTAGGACACGAATGGAGGTCATCCGAGGTCGCATTCGATTGCTCAAAAGCCGACACCCAAATTCGTGAATCTCGTAGATCATGTAGATCCAATTCAGCACTTCTTTTCTTGAACCAGAAGTGAATCGCCAACTCTCCACAGTTCAGACATCATGATGATTGATTTCCTATCTCTTTGCGCTATTTGCAGCATGTTCGATACTCTAAAGCAGTGATTTGATGCGTGAGTTACAGGGATGCTCCCTTTGTAGCTTGCCGATGGCACCCCATACTCCCAGCTATGCGCAGTTTCCCACCAGCTTGGCCAAAGCAACCTGAGGTGGAATCAGTCTCTGAAAAGAGCTGCTTCGGGGGAGAGGTTTTTGAAGTCATGAGTTTCTGATGTTTCTGCAATCTGACTCTAACTTAGACAGCAATTCAAATGGAACTGTTGAAATTTGAATTCTGTTTGAGTTAATGTGTCAGATTTGTGATATTCACATTTTGTGCGTATGTGCCTAGGCCATTCCTAGGGCAGGAATTTGAATCTGTCGTGGTGCCGGTGCCGCAACATTCTTTGCATAGGTCTTCACCGTGGTGAGACAAGCAGATGAGCTTTCTCTGAAGGCTGCTCCCTAATTCAAGGGAAGTCCTTTCAGTTGTCTATTTGGAACCAACCTATCATTGAATCGCTGACAATCACTGACATCAAAATTACCAGTTTGTTATTCTCAAATTGTCAAATCGTCAAATTGTAGTGAGAGGGTGACAGGACGTGCATTTATGCGTGCGTCGCAAGAAACCTGACATATGGAAGATATTTTCTTGTCACATTCTGCTTTTGCTGCTGAAGAACAACTATTGTTCTTGACGATGAAGATCTTCTTCCCTGATAAGTCATTTGGTCCACGCTTTCGATGCGCAGGAGGATCTTTGGTTGGCAGACGCCCGGGAATTCTTGCGGAACTGTCCGGACTGGCCCATAGCAGACGCGACCAGCGTGCAGGCAAATCACCTCACGACCCGCTAGGATTTTGCCCCAGGAATCTCATTCCGGGTTACATCCCAAAATTGGGGGTAATGGTAGATTATTCATGATTATACAAATTTGATGATTTGGAGAACCATCATGATTTGATAGTAGGTCAGTCACAAATCGATATTTGAATCGCTTTTACTTCTTTGATATTTAATTCGATTGATTTTGAGATTATTCCATATAATTCCTGAAATTCAGTCATCACCCATAGGATCCATGGTGCTGGTATATATGCTAACATTGGTGGTATATTGATGGTAAATGTTACCATATATATCATACATGGATCCTATGGGTCAGTTAACGTCATATTCATAGCTTCACCGGGCTTCACCTTGGATTCTTTCCTGCTAGCCTTGGGTCATATTGGGTCAGGTCGAGGCAACGCCAAACGAGCTGCCACGCCGCTTACAGTCTGTGAACTTTCTGGCCTGGCAGAAAGGTGGGGAAATCGATGGATGAATCTGTTGAACACATAGGACAATGTGAGGCCCCCAAGATAGCTAAGTTTGTTTATAAGTCCAATAACTATATGTTTATGGTATTTATAGCTATAGTTACTGGGGCTTATAAACAAACTTAGCTATCTTGGGGGCCTCACATTGTAGGCTATTTGGGAACATTCAAAAAACCAATACCATCTGGTTATGACTAACATAGCCATGAAAAATCCCAACCATAAATGGAGGTTTTCATGGGAAAATCATCTATAAAGTGGGCCATTTTCCATGGCTATGTTAAATAACCAGAGGGTATATGGGTTCCTGTTCCCAAAAAACCACAGTAGTATGGGACTATTCCAATACTATGGTCACTATTCCCATTCCTGTAGTTATTCATAGCTATTTGGTGGTTTGGAACATGACTTTTATGACTTTCCATATATCGGGAATAGTAACCCCAACTGATTTTCATATTTTTCAGAGGGGTTGAAACCACCAACCAGATAGGCTATTTGGGTATATATACATAGTAGAGAACTATACATCTGGGTAAATATGTATATACTATACATCTTCTTGGGCCTGATGAACATGATTTTTTTTACAGCTCTTTGGGGATGAACCGAAAAGTACCAGGCTTTTGATCAGCCATTCATGGCATTTCATGGCTGTCGCTGATGAAACATGACTGGTCTGACTGGACCTGATCTGCATCGGAGGTCAACTTACAGAGCACCTCCGGCGAAAGAGCGAACAAACCTTGGTGGCTGCAGCAGATCTCCGATCCTTGGCATGGTCGGTTGACGGCATGGTAGCTCCCTAGGGCCCCGATAAAACGCGCCGTCATGAAGCGCGCCGACATGTCAGGCGAACTGGTCACTGCTGTGCAAAGAGATGCCTTGAGCATTCAAGCTGAAGAAGAGGCTTTGTGCAAGGCGGAAGAGGACGGAACCCAAACATTGATCCATCTCTGCATGTGTTTTGCATGCTTCGCAGTGTGTACCTGGGGGTGCGTGTCCGCTTAATATGCTTTTTCTGTATAATATTGTATAATTATATATTATATTTTATATTTAACACATAAACAGTTTTTTTAAATGGGGGGTGGAGTCCCTTATGATATACATATATATATACACACATTACACATACACATTATGGTACAGGGGTTACATCATGTTCTATCTCAATACTTGTTGGGGTTCACATTATGGTTATAGCCATTACTAAGCGCAACTGCACCCCCAAGTGAGTTTCTCTAAACATATCGTATCGCAAAATATCACGGGTATAGACCGTTATCGGAAGCCACCATATTATATCATACTTGAGAAATAAATAAATATATATATTATATATAAAAGTAATATGTTAATATGTACATATGACACACACATATATATATATAATATATATAATATATATATAATATTATATTATATATATTATTTTTATTATATATATGATATCATATTATACATATTATTTATTATATATATGATATAATCTTATAGATATATATATATTTGATATTTATCATATATATGATTTAATTTTATATACATTATATTTACTATATATATAATATTATATATATAATATTATATACAAAATATTATATATAATATTATATATAATATTATATATATAGTATTATATATATAATATATATATAATATTTAGTATACGATATAATTATATATATATATGTGTATGTCTTCTGTAAATATCCTATCCCCATTGTGATATACCATTTTTCAACGATCGGACCAGGAGCTGCTGCTGAACCGCAAGCGTTGTGCTGGGGAACTGCAGCAGCTGTGGCAGGAGTTGGATCTCCGAGAGATGGCCTTCACCGACGCCGCCTTGGAGGCTGGCCATGGGATATGGGATATGGGAGGCGTAAAGCAGTAAGTGTTTAATAGTTATATTTACATATATACATATACATATACATATACATATACATATACATATTATTATTATTATTTTGATTATGATGATGATGATGATTATTATTATTACTATTATTATTATATATATATGCTATTATGAGTTCCTATGATGAGAGAAAGTAGTTTGTGATTTTCACAATTGGATGGCAAACAGGCAACCAGTTGGAGTGGTCTCCCTTTCGCCAGGTCTTGGAAGCTCCAACAGCAGCCAGCGAGCTGATGCAAGCAGCACAGCTCTCTGAGGCTGTTTGTGATCAGGCCAGGGTGACGTCTCGGAATCTTCGGAGCTGGTAGGAAAACTGTACAATGTGGTGCCCTCAAGATAGCTAAGTTTGTTTATAAGTCCAATAACTATGGTTTATGGTATTTATAACTATAGTTACTGGGGCTTATAAACCAACTTATAACTGGGGGGCCTCACATTGTAGGAAGACTGGAATAATATAGGAGGTTCCATACTTAAAAAAGCGAAAAATGCAGATCCTTCATCCAAGAATTTTTTTGAGAAACGATTGCGAAGGGGTCTGTCATACCGGTGAAACAAAGGTACCCTCTGGTAAACGTCTACATAACTATGGAAAATCACCATGCTAATGGGAAAATCCACGATTTCTATGGCCATGGCTTCAATAGCAAACTGTTTTGGCTGCGAATCAGGCTGGTGACCTGCAAGAAGAGACTGCGTTGCTGCTGGACATGCACCAGGAGAAGCGCCAAAACACCAGGGTTGTCGGTTGTCCTTTTTGGGGAAAGCCTGGTTTCACACCCAACTGGGGGTTTCTGAAAATGGGGGAATCCCAATGGAATTTGGGGTACCCTTTGAGGACCTGGAGACCAGAGACGCCTCCCAGCATTGCAATGAGGCTGGCCATGGCTAGGCCATATGCAGAGATGATTTGGCCATCCGGCCACCTGAAAAGTGATTCTTGTGGATGTACCATCATGGGAATGACGAGATTTTCATATGTTCATCATATTTGATCTGTAATTTTCAATGCTACAAGACTTCAACAACGCCTAGAATCCAGTTGATATGTTGATATTCGGATTTACCCTCCGGTGAACTAACATAGCAATAGAAAATCACCATTTTTAATGGGAAAACTCACTATAAATGACCATTTTCAATAGCTATGTTAGTTCACCAGAGGGTAACAACTTAAAACAACTCTCATCCTATTGATTTCCATGGATTTCCCATAAATTTCCCATAGATTTTCCTCATGATTTCCCACCAATCACTGGTGTTTTTTCCCCAGGCAGCTTTCGGATGCCTGGTGGAACGAGAGTTGACCTTGGACGGTTTGGAGGAGCTCCGAGAAGGTGGGAAAACACGTGAAGATCTGACATGATCTGACGACCTGTGAGAGATAGATATTTGGTAGATTCTGATAGATATAAAATGATATGTTAATGAATGATATATGATATATATATATACATAAATGACATATGATGATGATATATATATAGACATAAATGACATATAATGATATATATATATATATATAATTATATATATATATTATAGATATAGATCATGATATAGATCTGACATTATCAATGATCTGAGTAGATCGAAACATAGTTCAGTTGACTTGTCAGGGAAGGGGTGCAGGGCAACCCCGAACCTGATTCTTCACGTGTGCAGGCATTGCGGAGCACTTGCAGCAAGCATTGCTGCTTGACGATGATGCCAGAGAGGCCTTGGGACATCTTGGGACATCTTGGGACATCTTGGGACATCTTGGGACATCTTGGGACATAGTTTGCTATGCACACAGGGTGACGATTGAGACCTACGTGAGAAGGCTGATCCATGACATCTCCCTATCGTTCAAAAAAGGTGGCGAATGAAGCCCACTGTCAGACCGCGATGCCTCAGGCGATCCTGACCTCGTTGGGTGGAGTTGGTTGGACTGAAGGCAGATGCAGATCTTGTGGCCTCCATTTTTGGGACTGGTCCAGTGGTCCAGTGCGGACGCGCCATGAAGTCATGCCATGTCATGCCCCAGGTGACCTCCCAGCCACGGCAACCAGCGAGTTTTCCGGCACTGCGCCCAGCTCAGCGCGCCACAGCGGCCGCAGCACTGGCAGTCTCAAAAAGGTGGGCCAGATACGATGGAGGATGGAAGCTGGTGAGAGTGCAGTAGAATCAGTACACTCATTGCGAGTTATTAATATTATTTAAGATCATAAAGCTGTATAAAACTCCCACTCCATTTTTGAACAGGACAGATGCATGGCTTCCCTGTAGCAATGCCGCAGGTTTATGCCAGCCCCAGGGACCTGGTGGAGACCTCAAAGATCCTCAGATTGAGTCCCCAGAGGCGTGAGATTTGGCTGTGCAGTGCTGTGCTGTGCGAGGTGTGAGAAATTGGAGATTCCCCCAATGTCAAGAATTAGAACAGCAGTGCACCATCCACGGCAACATGTTGCAGGCCGGAAGATGTTTATCTGGAGTGGGATGAGGCTGAGAACCTGGACGACCTGGATGTCCTGGATGTGGATTTGGAGATGGAGCAGCAGTACGAGGACGAGGTCCATCGAAATGTGCGCAGCTTGGGACAACGGATATCAACGGATGCCATGCAGCTCCCTGGTTCCAGCCAGTTCCAGCCTCTCTCTGCTGAAGAGCTATGATTTGATAGAGATGATTGTCACATGCTGTCACATCATCAAGGTATATCAGAAGAAGCCACTGACAAAACTATTCTATTTGCAGGGGTTGATACTCGAAGTACTCCAAAAGATCCCAAGAGTCATGGGAGTTTATTTGAGACTTTGGCAAAGTTTGGTCATGGCAGGAATTCGGACATCAGGACTACCCGAACTACACTGATGGCAGCCTTTCAGCTGGAGACGAGTTGATCTTCGAAGAAGAGGAGGAAGCGGATGCGGAAGATGTCGATGAGGAAGTTGATCCAGATGACCTGATTGAAGAGCTTGAAGAGACCAACGAATTCAACGAGTTCAACGATGCTGGCGAGGCTGGAAACCAGCCACGGTGCAGCTGGGTATATACCTATCGATTTAAAGACTGCTGGCAGAGAACATTGACACATGGAAACTCTAGCTTTTCTTTTCCTTTGTCCCATATGCATGTAGAGTTCTGTAGTGTTTTCTGGTGTCTTCTACGCCAATGTGGATTTTTACCTACAAGCTGTTCTGGTTTGGCGCCGCTTTCTCTCACAGGAGCCGGAGGAGCTGCTCCCACAACGCTTGGATACCTTGCTCGGCCGCTAAGCTTCAGAATCAAGCGTGTCCATTAATAGGGTATATCAAATACCAATTGGGTTTGTCTGAAAATAGTGTACCCCTAAACCCAATGGTTAATGATCATTATCCCTATTAAATGGCTATAATTGGGAATATACCCTATTTTCAGACAAACCCAATTGTGTATTGTGTATACAGTAATACACCACTAATAGTAGAAGGTCACTCTGACCGTAAGCTGGAGATACTCCCTTTCCAGATCTTTACCTGGAGATACTCCCTTTCTGGCTCTGTTCTTGGAGATTCACGGCATACTCTCTGTCCCTTTCTAGCTTTTTTTTTGGAAAAACAGATGGGTTTGCAAATCTGCAAATTGCATCAAATTGCTTTATATACGACAATAAATGACCTAAATGCAAATTCATTTTAAATGTCATTTCTACACTTGGAGTACACACATTTTGTATGCTCTTAGTGTCTCCAGCCTTTACATCATTAGTAATCCAGTTTTGTACGCTATTAAACCACACTCTTCTTGACAATCATTCACAGCTTCCATGACGACGATCACAACCACTTGGAACAGTCCGGGGGAAAGCGTTGAAGGAGTTCTAATTGGTGAGACGGAAATGAACCTTGATACGTCCTCTGAAGCTTTGACTTCTTGATTTTCCTCCCTGACCAACATACATAATAACTCGTGGCAGCCAAGAACGGCCAGTGAATTGTTCGACGTCAGGCACAGTGGACAGTAGCTCTGGTGTGGCTCTGCCATCGGACTCGTGTTTCATTGGTGTTCCAGTCTCTTGCCAGCACCTGGATCCTCTGTTTGTTTTTTCCAAGGTGGGAGATCAGTTGTACTTGCCGTCTATTTCCATGATGTGTCAAGGCACCATACTCTTAAGGCGATGATGACGATGATGATGATGATGATGATGCTGATGCTGATGCTGATGCTGATGATGCTGATGATGCTGATGCTTCTGATGCCGATACTGATGCCGATGCTGGTGGTGGTAGTGGTGGGGGTGGTGACGATCCAGACACCATTGCTGTATCTATCTGTATCTATCCGCATGATCATTTTGCTCCCGAACGCCCCCATCAGGCTGAGGCGAATGCCAAAGCACCGCCTATGCAGTGTGCCATAAGAAGTGTGACGCAGGTGACGACGGCGCAGACGTCTGGGCGCAGTGCTGGAAGTGGTGGAACATCTCCTGCGGAACTGATTGAGACATGAAAAGACCATGTGCTGAGAGCAGCTCTTCAAAGTACATAACATATTAAATTAATACTGTATATATACTGTATAATGCCAACACCGGATTAATAACCCCCCCCCTAGAAGGTAGGAGGTACCTTCTGAACCACCCGCAAATAAACGGCGAATTATAGGTCTGGGGTTCTGTGATTGTACGAATTCCCGAGACAGGTGAGGGTTGGGAGTCAAGACCGGTTGGATGTGGTTGAAGCTGTTCAATTGAAACGGTTATACTGGTTTTAACATGTTGACGTTTGTGTGAATATTTCCCAATTCCAATGGATTAGCAGTTGCCAGGTGACCAGGTCATCATTTCCGACAAAGACATCCTCGTTTGTTCCGAGTGTGCCCGCTGCACCACTGGCAAAGCTGCTCGGACTATTTTGGAGGCTGTTTGATGATTTCTGTGTAACTCTAATATATATATATATATCATTATATTATATATATACATAGTTATATATATATATATGGTCACCCCCCCCCGGGCCTACCTTGAGCTTTTTTTCGTGGTATTTGCAGCAGAAACAGATTTATTTCATTGTCCAGCTTTTTGTGCGATTTACACACTACCACGCAAGTACGGTACAGCTTAACTCTTGTTTTCTTGCAGTTCCTCAATTGCCACCTGGTTACTCCACATTCTAACTCCGAGGTTGCCTTCCTTTCAAAGTCAAGTAGCCTTTGTAGATGAATTAGGGTGAATTAGGGTTATGTTGTTCAAAACATGGTTCACTTCTTTCATGAGGGATGTAGTACTGCAACACAATCACATGGAAACACTAGAATAGTGTCTTTCCAGGCTTCAAAACAATATATTTCTAGCATTTCTAGTTGTAAATAAATTTTGCAACACAAAAAACATGATAAATATTCCGCCTGGGAACTACATGACTTGAACTTCTCCACTGCAATCTTGCATTGTCTGTCGAAGCATTCTACTGGATGTATTTTGCTTTCCAAGGTGTGTTTTCTTCTTGGTTTTGGCTACATTTTGAAACCTATATCGGCCATTGTCATGAAGTAATCCATTTTGCACATGAAAGTGTTTTTTGTTTTTCTCCAACGAAGCTGAAAGTAATAGCCCTGCATGTACTGTAGCCGCTTTTAAAACAGAGAAGCTCATATTGGCTGCCTTTGTATCAGCTTGCTGTGTACGTGTAGCTCTAAGCGAAAGGTGTGTGCTGCCAGCATTAGCTACAAGAGTTACAAGATAGTGTTTTGTTGGTCGGTTGCTTCTCTTTTGACTGCGTACTGCATTTTCAGTGAACAGCATGGCCTGCTCTCTGTTCCCAGCGCACAAAAAGACGCAGCCCGCGGCGAAAGGTTTGACGACGCTAACTGATTGTTCTGTCAACCTGCTAGGAGATGCGCTTGGACATGTTGGAAGAACATGAGGACCGATTCCTTGCTTAAGTGCTCAGCATTGACGCTGGGATAGCGTCAGTATGATTACAAGATTCAATGCAGTTGGAAAATTTACCCATGTTTTTTTGGCAGGAGCAGATGAAAAAAGTGCGTGAAGAGAAGGAGGCAGTGGCAGTGGCTGCGTGGTTTTTGACTTGTGTTTTGGTAGGAACTCCGCCACAAGCATGACCAGCGGACAGAGGCGAGGACTTCAACTGATTCAGGAGCTGGAGCGCCAATTCCGGAAGCACAAGCAGGAGCCAAGCAGTTCAACCCAGCTGTGCAATGTGGGCACACCGTCGCTTGCAGGAATGCGATGATTACTCCAACAAGCTGGAGCTGGGCGGGTTGCTTCTTCCATGTTTTGATTGACAGCTCATAATCATACCTTGGTGGCCTTGCGAGGACCTGCGCATGCAATTACACAAAGACAATACCCTCAACTGCTGAGGGTCTAATATACATGACCCTTAGGGATTTCCGAATGGAGGGTCTAGACTGGTGCCCAAATCATTGTAGACCTTTGTGTTGGTTTCATAATAGACCTTTGACTTGTACGTCCGTATTTTCACGTTAGACCCTGCGAGCTTTAGACATTTTGACATTGGGAAATCCATGTCAGACCTTTTGCCAATATCTTATATGTTCAAATGGATTTATCCTGGAACATACTCTGAGCTTTACTTCTGGAAGCGCAAGCAAACCATTAAGCATTTTTGCCTTTAAAAAATCAATGAAACCAAATTAGAGTTGCGGGAAATGCATCTGGGTCTGAAATCATGGTTGCCAAGCTTTCCCGGTGAGAGGCTATTGCTGACAGTCCCCAAATCTTAGACTTAGACCCTTTGGGATGGTTCTGAACTGGTTCCCCAAAAGCATTTGCGTCAGTGAAGCATCGCCAACAGCATGTGACTTTCATTCCAGACCCACTGGATTCCCCAAAAGATCATTCCAAAACCAGTTCCAAACAGAATGCAAAGTCTGCCTGGCTGGTCGTCCATGCTCGCATCCTTTCCTGTTCAGAAGGACTAGGAGGACCCCTAAACTCTAAACCACACAACATCTCAAAGGTTCACTGGTGGATGTTGAGGAAAGGAATATCTGGCCAACATGCTACAACCCATGAGAAACCAAAATCCATCCAAAAATCAGGAGGCGGAAATGCATCAGGGTCTGAAATCATGGTTGCCAAGCTTTCCCGGTGAGAGGCTATCGCTGACAGTCTCCAAATCTTAGACTTAGACCTTTTGGGATGGGTCTGAACTGGTTCCCCAAAAGCATTTGCGTCAGTGAAGCATCGCCAACAGCATGTGACTTTCATTCCAGACCCACTGGATTCCCCAAACGATCATTCCAAAACCAGTTCCAAACAGAATGCAAAGTCTGCCTGGCTGGTCTTCCATGCTCGCATCCTTTCCTGTTCAGAAGGACTAGGAGGACCCCTAAACTCTAAACCACACAACATCTCAAAGGTTATTGGTGGATGTTGAGCAAAGGAGTATCTGGCCAACATGCTACAACCCATGAGAAAACAAAATCCATCCAAAAATCAGGAGCTGGAAATGCATCAGGGTCTGAAATCATGGTTGCCAAGCTTTCCCGGTGAGAGGCTATCGCTGACAGTCCCCAAATCTTAGACTTAGACCTTTTGGGATGTGTCTGAACTGGTTCCCCAAAAGCATTTGCGTCAGTGAAGCATCGCCAACAGCATGTGACTTTCATTCCAGACCCACTGGATTCCCCAAACGATCATTCCAAAACCAGTTCCAAACAGAATGCAAAGTCTGCCTGGCTGGTCTTCCATGCTCGCATCCTTTCCTGTTCAGAAGGACTAGGAGGACCCCTAAACTCTAAACCACACAACATCTCAAAGGTTCACTGGTGGATGTTGAGGAAAGGAATATCTGGCCAACATGCTACAACCCATGAGAAACTAAAATCCATCCAAAAATCAGGAGCTGGAAATGCACCAGGGTCTGAAATCATGGTTGCCAAGCTTTCCCGGTGAGAGGCTATCGCTGACAGTCCCCAAATCTTAGACTTAGACCTTTTGGGATGGGTCTGAACTGGTTCCCCAAAAGCATTTGCGTCAGTGAAGCACCTCAAACAGCATGTGACTTTCATTCCAGACCCACTGGATTCCCCAAAAGATCATTCCAAAACCAGTTCCAAACAGAATGCAAAGTCTGCCTGGCTGGTCTTCCATGCTCGCATCCTTTCCTGTTCAGAAGGACTAGGAGGACCCCTAAACTCTAAACCACACAACATCTCAAAGGTTCACTGGTGGATGTTGAGGAAAGGAATATCTAGCCAACATGCTACAACCCATGAGAAACCAAAATCCATCCAAAAATCAGGAGGCGGAAATGCATCAGGGTCTGAAATCATGGTTGCCAAGCTTTCCCGGTGAGAGGCTATCGCTGACAGTCTCCAAATCTTAGACTTAGACCTTTTGGGATGGGTCTGAACTGGTTCCCCAAAAGCATTTGCGTCAGTGAAGCATCGCCAACAGCATGTGACTTTCATTCCAGACCCACTGGATTCCCCAAAAGATCATTCCAAAACCAGTTCCAAACAGAATGCACAGTCTGCCTGGCTGGTCTTCCATGCTCGCATCCTTTCCTGTTCAGAAGGACTAGGAGGACCCCTAAACTCTAAACCACACAACATCTCAAAGGTTAACTGGTGGATGTTGAGGAAAGGAATATCTGGCCAGAACTTGCTAGACCCCATTAGAAACCAAAAGCCAAGCTTTACTTCTGGAAAGCGCGTGCGGGAAAAAGACAAGCTTCGAGCTCTAGACAGTGAGGTCAAGGTTGAAAGGTCTAAACTGAAAATCTCGATCAACAATGTAACATGGTCTTTTGACATGAGCAGAAGTACTTTCATGCTAGACCTTTGTCTACGGATCCCCCCCTTGTAGGTCTACTTTGATCTGTGAATATTTCAGAACAACTGAAGGAATAACATATCAGACCCCAAATGTCAGGGTCTACAATGAATTCCCAGGGTCCCAGGCTAGTAGTTGAGGGGATCAAAGACAAGGAGGCGTGATCCATTTAGTGGCAAACGCTCTAAACAATAATTTGCCTTGACATTGAACCTGCTGCCAGATCGCGCGAAGCGAGCATCAAAAGGAGAAGGAGGCCTGCCTTACTTCACAAATTTTCTGCTAATTAACTTCTGAAACATGATCACATTCAGGCCCTGGAAGCAGAGATTAAGCGGCAAAAGAAGGCTTGGCAGATCGTGATGATGATGATGATGATCATGATGATGATGATGATGATGGTGATGTGGACGACAACGTCTCAACTGTTTCAATGTTACTCCTAGAACCTGCAGGAATCGGACGAGACCTACGAAACGATGGAGAAGGACAGGGTAGTTGAGTTCTTCACTTGTTGACTAAACTTTGGTTCTGCTCCATTGCTGTGCCAGAACCTTCGCAGCCAGTTCAGCAAGGAGAAGGAGGACCGTTTTTGGCTTGTGAGCTTACCTCAATGTCAAGTGTTTGTGGGTGTTGGACATGAAAAGTCTGCACAAAGTGTTTCGGCAGGACCTGGTGAATGAGAACCAGAAGCTCAAGCGCCAAGTGGGGCAATTGGAGGACATATTAAAAGTTGACATTGATTGGCAACCAATGTTTTCCGTCAGCCAACGGCCACTTCCAGTGCACCGCAGGATACAAAGGCGCATTGCAAATGCCAAACCAAGGCACGGATTATTCATTGGTACTTACTCAAAGTCAACATGTCTACAAGTTTTCCATCTTCTTTGTTTGTTGCCCGCTAGGAAATGACAAGGCTGCTTGGAGAAAGCAACAAAGAGGTGAGGCGGCTTAAGGAGACGAGCTGATCAAGCTGAGGTTCCACTTTTTTGGTCGCGTGAGCACTTCGCTTCAATTTTGTGAGGACCAGCTGGCAGCAATGGAGGCCCAGGCTGAACAAGACCGGCCCAAGGAAAAAAAGAAGGCAGGGACTACTTGAATCACTGAAAAAAAGTATTTCATTTTATGGCTTAAGTCCTGACTCACTTTTGCTTGACCTTGCAAGTGACAATGCAAGAAACAAATCTGTCAGGAGAAAAAGTCAAAAGAGAAGGAAAAAGAGATACAATGAATGACGGCGGCGGCGGCGGTAATCTGATGATGGCAGACCAAAATGATACGTCCAGGTATGCCCTGATACTTTCACTCCACGCATCGGATGAACTTCACAAGAAGAAACTAGCACGGTCTAATGATGAGAACATGGTGAGAAAATGGTCAGAAATGCCATCATCACACTGTGCTGGTACAGACTTATTACGTAACAGTCTCAGTTGGTGATTTCAATTTCATCAGTCATCGAAATTTAAACTCGTGCAAATTGAATACTCTCATTGAAGGCTGCCAACCTTAACATTAAATCACCAGCTGATTGACGCTCAACGAAGCCTCTGCCACGCACCTGCCCAACATCATTTTTTTTGTCAATCAAACATGAATAAAAGTCCGAAACACTGCCCATAAAAGATCATTTTCAATCATTGTTTTCTTCTTGGTGGGTGTGTGGCGTGAATTTTTGACCCAACTGCACTGAATCAGGCAGTGATAAAATAAGCCACCGAATTGAAGTTTCGCAACTGATTTGCAATCTTGGACTTGCCTGTCCCCTGTCGACACGTTTTTACGAATTATCCCTAACCCCCTGGTCCAAGGAACTGATTGGCTCAATGCTCGTCGGTGTGTAGAGGGGCCTCAGAAAAAGACATAAGGCGCTGGGATAGCGCCAAGCATGTGTGAATGAATGAATGGATGGACGAATGGATGGATGGGTGGATGACTGGATGAATGAATGGGTGGATGGGTGGGTGAATGGGTGGATGGATGGATGGGTGGATGAATGAGTGGATGAATGAATGGATGGATGGATGAATGAATTGATGGATCAATGAAAAAGACATAAGGCGCTGGGATAGCGCCAAGCATGTGTGAATGAATGAATGGATGGATGAATGGATGGATGGGTGGATGACTGGATGAATGAATGGGTGGATGGGTGGATGAATGGGTGGATGAATGAGTGGATGAATGAATGGATGGATGGATGAATGAATTGATGGATCAATGAAAAAGACATAAGGCGCTGGGATAGCGCCAAGCATGTGTGAATGAATGAATGGATGGATGAATGGATGGATGGGTGGATGACTGGATGAATGAATGGGTGGATTTTCAAGTTCCATGGAGGTCTCTGGAATTCATTTTCGAGGAGAAATTTGTCAAAAATCTGAGCCCTTCGCGAAGGGCTCAGATTTTTTGCAATTTTATCTTCGAAGATGATTTCCAGAGACCTCCATGGAACCTTATAGGTGGATGGGTGGATGAATGAATGGATGGATGAATGAATTGATGGATGAATGGATGGATGGGTGGATGAATGAATGGGTGGATGGATGGGTGGATGGATGGATGGGTGGATGAATGAATGGATGGATGGGTGGATGAATGAATGGATGGATGGGTGGATGGATGGATGGGTGGATGAATGAGAGGATGGATGAATGAATGGGTGGATGAATGAATGGATGCATGGATGGGTGGATGAATGGATGGACCGATGGATGGATTGGTGGATGAATTTAAGAAGGATGCACTGTGTCAATCACTTTTTGCCAATTATAGCTTTGACATGAATGGTAGTCATTACTGAAAAAACATATTCTTTCAATTTCCAGATTTATAATAATGAACCATTGAAAAATTGGGGTTAAACAAGTTTCCAATGCCAAGTCCTGGTCAAACAGTGTTGTCTAAGAAATTTGTTTTTGAACAATCCCTCATTACACAAAAACATGATTTCAAATCACTGACAATATTCATTTTCAATTGGATACCGATGGGTGCATAAATTAGTGGAGGTGGTTGATGACTGTGATGGTTGGCTATGATGAGTGATCACGGACAAATTATGGACAATCAAGGACGATGGCAATAACCTTACTGGGAAAAACAACCAAAAAAAACATAAACTATGCTGTCCACGCAGCACGCTATCACAGCGCAACACGCTATCCCAGCGGAACCGAGCTGCCTAGTACCGGCGCTATCCCAGCGCCAGTACTCTAACATCTAACGCTATCTCAGCGTCAGATTAACCAGTTACTACTTATTACCTAATTTTTCAATTAGGCCATGCGCTATCTCAGCGCACAGCCAATAACAAAAAAAACAAGAACATAACAAAATAGCAAACATTAACTCAATCTTCATCTGAGCCATTGTGTCATCCATGGCTGCAGCATTGGCATGGCTGAGCTTGGCTGGGCAATGTTTTGAAAAAAATGGAAATGCTGTATTTGTTGCTCGCCCTGCCCCCCCCACCAAAAGTTGACATGAAGTTCGATTGAACATTTACCAAGCACGCTATCCCAGCGTCCACTGTTGACAATAAGTCAAACAAAACAAGACAAGTCAGTGCCAAACCTCACTAAGTTTTTTTTGGTTTCATTGCGCAGAGTTCTTTTTACATTGTCATTTCAATAAGTATGACGGCTATGTTGGCCCTTTGTCTGGCTTTGTCTTTAGGATTTAACCCAAGAGGTGGCTTGGGCGGCACCAGACCACTTAAAACCCGTTCATACAAAACATCAGGTTTTACAACATGCTCTCACTCACACACTCTTGTGGCTGTGAAATGCTGCAACCTAGACGTGCAGCCTCATCTTATTAATCCCAGTGTCACACACTTTATAAACAAACGTTTTGGCTTAGTGGCCCTTTATGTCTGGCAGCATCTCGATGCGATGATTGGGAGCCCCAGGCTCAAATGGAGGCTCCCTGAGCCAAGGTGCTAGAGAAGTCTATTGTGGTACACCATGGTTCATCATCGCTGGCATGAGGAATGCATTATAGTTTATTCGATTTGGAGTTCACTGCGCTGCTGAAACATGCAAATCGCAAATCAAGGAACAATTCTCTCACAGCAAAGCAACGCCCACTCTTTTTTCCATTGGGGATTGCAAACATGTGACAAATCACAAAGGAAAACAAGTTCTACCTACAAACGAGTTCACAACTTAGTGAAGGAAAAGTTCAGCAGTGCATTTCTGTGTTAACTTCAGAAATACGTTCACTGTTATCGAATAAAATCACATCATGTTCCATGAGGTTTCTGATGTTTTTCCTCATATCAGTTCCAAAAAGTTAGCCATGCTTTCGTGAAGGCACCAGATCTAAAACACATTTTCCACACATGTTTCACTCACACACTCGTGCTTAAGCACCAGCAAGATGAGTCGCCATAAGGCCTGGACTTGTTTAAATGTCAGCTACCCCATGGGGCTCGGCGCAGCATGTGAACCGGACGTTTCAGCTGTGGCGATCGCACATGACTGTGTGCCATGGACACACAGATGTGCAAATATGTATTCAGCCAGGATACGACATAAATAACGGATTGAACGAACACTAGACTACTGAGATATTAATGGAATGTTTATTTTAAGAGTATGATAATGGATATGTGGGAAGTAAATCCCTATTGACCATCCCCCAATATGACTATACAATCTGACTTTGGATGTGCCATATTGCAAAATCAAACATTATTGACTCAAGCTTCTTCCTCCGTATATGTAAGACCAAGATGATTCTTGAAGTAGTTGCCATGTCAGCCCCGGTGCGCAACATCCAAGTGGAGGTCCTTTGCCTGTGGCGTAATTCGGCTGCCGTTGGTTGTGCGTAGATTTCAAGGATCTCTTCGGCTGCGTTTGCACATTCCGAATATATAGACAGATTTCCCTGCGATCGTCAAAGGTGTTTGTCTTCAATTGTTTTTTTGGAACATGATGACCATGCAAAACCACTGGGTCTCACATCGCCCAAGTCTTCGGATGCACCATGAATCTTTCATCGGCAACACGGCAACTGTGCAAACTATTGCAACATTGAATGGACTGAATGATTTCTTTGTCTTTGTTCCGTGCAACTTGTACGTTTAAGGTTATTGAATGGTTTGTTCTTGACATGATTTTTGGCCGGTGGTCCTGGCCCAACGTCCGCTCACATGTTCCAGGCCATGACATCGGATAAGAGACACAGTAAATTACAGTAACCTGTTGCACAGATGTGAATATGTCAATGGGTGTGGAGAGTTTTCTTCTGAGAAGATTGATGTCGACAAGAAAGGACTAGCATGTCAGTAAGGGCACTGAGTTTCAATGACATTTGGTTATGGACTAGGGCATTTAGCTCTAAACCTTACAGCCATGGAGTCGTCCATGGAAAAATGCACGAAGATGCTCGGGTTCCCTTCTTTGGAGGCGCTGAAAGCCGAGTACTCGACAGAAGCCAGTAGCAACGTACTGGGAAAACGTGGCTAGATCAGTTGCGCAGTCTGAGTCTGTGGCTTCAGGAGGGCAGAGGCCTGGTATTGGCTCCTCTGCATGGACGAGGAACCCTGCGGCTATTGCGCCTGCATACCGCAGCGCTGTTTCCTTGGGGAGTGGAGCCAGGAGTCACGGCAATTTGGTCTGCAGCTGCTGCATGCGTTTCGAAATAATTTGGGGCGTGCTCTTGGGGGATGTGAGGGATCTGGGAGTCGATCAAAGACATCAGAGACCCATGAATCCCATGAGATGCCGATGGCCAAACTGGATTTCGATCAGCTGGCTTTTCAATATGTAGAAGATGGATTTCCTGCCGTGTCGAGCGAGGCTGTGCTCTCCATTCCGGCGCTGGATGCATCCACGTACCAGGACGGCACCCCGATCGTCGAGAACGAGGTCCAGGGATTCCATGGGACGCGCAGTAGCATCCTGCCTACGATATTGATGCAGGGACTGCGGTCCTCCAAACGAAGTCACGGGGTGACCCACCACACAGCGAGGCTTTTGCTACGAGTGGGGGTTTACTCCGTTTGAGCTTTTTGCAGGAGCCGCTGTTCATGTTGCATGCCCGTTGGAGCAGATCGTGAAGAACAGGAGGAATGGCAAGTAGGGGGATTGAGGGCAGGGAATAAGGATAGGATGGATGGGCCACATGGGCCAAGCGGAGACAACGTGAGAGATATGCGAGTATGTCTGTTGTTTTTTCAATGGTGCGCTCGCACGCCTAGGTATGTAGGAAGTTGACTGCGCGAGATGGAAGTTTAGCCCTTGGACCGTCTGTGAAACAATGTCGTGGCAGGAGGGTGGGTAGTATATGTAAGACGGTCTCTAGCACAGTCAGAATACAGTAGATTTTTCGGAAATGTGAATTGGTTTCTGGGTTCGAGGTTACTCGGACCCTAAGCATTGCTCCAAACATTTCAAATCTTCGTGCACAATCCCTGCAGTAAACTAAAGGGTAACCTAAACCCTGATGCGACTGTAGCAGGACTGGGGTTTAGGATTGCTTGTCCAATTAGTCATGGTCCTGCTTCCTCCTGGCCAGAAAATCTTCAATTTCAATGCAGTAAAAATGATCCGGCTGCATGTGATAACTTTAGGTTTATGTCAACATTGTGCCCTTCATTTTTTGCCGGGCCGTCTCAGAAGAACTTCATTAAGAACTTCATTAAGTAGCTTCGCAGAAACACGTGTGGAGACCATGTCTAGATCCTTGCCAGACAGGAAAATGGTGAAGCCACTGAGCATTGGAGACAGACAGAATCGCATTTCGAGGAGTTCGTGCAGCAGTGGGATCCCTCCACACCTGAGTTTGTGGAGATGGAAGTTCGTCCATTTAGATGGGTTGTGATCTGCAAGCCCTTGCTGCAAGCACTTAGCCAAAGGTTTGCGAGCTCACCTGATGGTAGCAAGATCTCGCTGAGTGCTGGCTTCACTTTCCGGTGGTGCCACATGGCCTTTAGTCGCTCAGCTGTGCGGTGGTCGGTGGTCAAAGCATGACCATATAATAAAGACCAATAAAGCCGCGCCTTGCTAGCAACTTGCTTGAGACATGTTCATTCTAGATTGGGATGGAACATGTGGTGGTGTGAAAATGTTTTTTCCAGAGAGAGTGTGTGTGATGCTTCTTGGCACGTCATATGGTGTGGCAGGCTACGTTTGTTTGAAAATCATACAATTTCTTTGCACATATGTAGCATTCCTTTCAATCACACCATTTCTTTGCGACACTCCTTTCAAAGAAACCCAGCTGCCCTCTATTTGGACAGGAACACCATACAATATCATACAATACTTTTTTTTATTATGGTTTGACACATGATGCCTTTGAGGCCAGATGAATCAGATTTGGCTTGGATTAATCTGGATTGATTCCAAGGATAAAATGTTTCAACAAAATAAGCTTCGGCGGTATCCCCAACAGCCGCAACGTTTTATTTTTACAAATCTTTTTGAAACGTGCTGCGAAGCCAAGCGCTGGAAAAACCTCAGCTGGGTTTCCGTGAGTTAAATGAACCTGACCTGGCTTGGCTTCTGCAACCTTCTCCGAAACCCGCTAAACCTGACTTTGGCTTTGCACCAAGGCTTCTTGGAATCTTCTCTGGAACCTCTCCGAAATCTGTTGAACCTGACCTGACTCTGCACCAAAGCTTCCCAGACCTTCTCCGGAACCTTCTCCGGCACCCTGTTGAACCTGACCTGGCTCTGCACCAAAGCCTCCCAGACCTTCTCCGCGGAACCTTCTTCGGAACCGTGTTGAACCTGACCTGGCTCTGCACCAAAGCCTCCCGGAACCTTCTCCGGAGCCTTCTCCGGAACCCGTTGAACCTGACTTGGCTTTGCACCAAGGCTTCCTGGAACCTCCTCCGGAACCTTCTCCGGAACCCTGTTGAACTTGACCTGGCTCTGCACCAAAGCCTCCCAGACCTTCTCCGCGGAACCTTCTTCGGAACCGTGTTGAACCTGACCTGGCTCTGCACCAAAGCCTCCCGGAGACCTTCTCCGCGGAAGCCTTCTCCGGAAGCCTCCCGGTTGAACTTGACTGGCTCTGCACCAAAGCCTCCCAGACCTTCTCCGGAACCTTCTCCGGAACCCTGTTGAACCTGACCTGGCTCTGCGCCAAAGCCTCTGGAACCTTCTCCGGAACCTTCTCCGGAACCCAGTTGAAGCTGACCTGGCTCTGCACCAAATTCTCCTAGACCTTCTCCGGAACCTTCGGAACCTTCTCCGGAACCTCGTTGAACCTGATCCGGCTCCTGCACCAGTGCACACGGGAGCTATTCTGGGCTGAAGACCCCATGAGCTTACGCTGTTGGGGAACAATAAAACACACACAAAAAAAACAAAACCAAAAAAACAAAGCTTTGGGTGACCTACTTTGGGATGTGAAAACTCCAATGCATTGTTTTTTTGGCAGATAGCACATGGTTGACCTTGCAATGACACAGTCAATGAAATTAAAAAAATGTAGGTCCTGGTGGGGGGTGAGCATATATATATACACATACATTATTGATATACAATAATTATTTGATATTGGCTATTGGATTATTGTAGGTTGTTTAAATATTCGATTTACCGTTTATATTTGTTTATATTGGTCATGATTCATGATTCGTTGATATATCTTTTGGTTTATTTTTCATCCACCAAAGTTTACAAAAGGGGCGAAGATAGTTGATCATGGCACTCATTGCCATTACCTCTGGTAGAGTGGCAGCAGCTTGATAGTTCCAGGAAAGGCTTCTTCATGGGGTCAATATGCCCTTTTGCATGGCTGATTTGTGCCAGGGAGTGGCTGCTCCCGAACTCCTCTCAAAACGATGTTTTGAAAGCAGAAGGAGCTCTACCACTATCTGTAGATATTAGATACAGTAGTCTTGTAACTTGTAGCTAGGTTTCTGAAGGACAACTTGGAATCATAAATCCTTTGTTCGACCACCTGAGGTTCCCAGTGTCCTATTGCCCGCGACAAGCCATGGGTCCACCACAGCATCAACCTTTGGTGCGTATCTCAGACCACCAAGGTCAGGAAGGATACGGGAGGACCACATCGGTAGCCTGTGAATCTGAGAGAATTCGCTGATTGCCTAAGGCTGGCTTCGTTCAAATGGTCATGCCAAAGCGATAAAAAGGTTTCGTGCACGGCATGGCGTTTTTTTTTTGCATCAATTTAATGTATCGGTTCTCAAACCAAACACTTGGCAGGTGAACACAGGAAACTTTGAGTCTTCCATGATGCTGATTTCGCATAATTTTCGTTATATTCAACGTGCTAATTTTTTTTTTTTGAAAGGCCTGCGATGTAGGAAAACTTGAGCGGGAAGGCTTGGGATGTAAGATTGAAGGTTTCTGCCATGATTTGTTTGCTCCTAGTTTGGACTTCACGTCAGCATCGTATATAGTCTTCAAGAACTGTAGTTTGGTTCTATACTTGGACCTTCAATTCTTCGATCTCATTTGCTCCTGAAGTACTTGCCCAAACACCGTTGGGATCCTTAGGGTAGGGTATCGGAACTTCTATTCTCAAGCCATTTTCCATTGAGGGCATCACGCTGACCCAAGCACTTATGTAGCCAGCCGCAACACCAAAAAAACATCAGCCACTTGCATTGCTCGTTATGCTGGCAGAAACCATGGTTGATGCAGGCCTGTCATGCACTGGCCGAATCTTGTGAGGTCTCCAGAATGCAACCCAAGTTGATTCAAGAAATTGCAGATACTTGAAGGGGTAAACGATAAGTGACGTTTCCGCCGCAAAAGGTCTGTGTTGAGATGAGGTGAGATAATATGCTCAGCTACCTGCTGGATGGGATTTTGCCACATGAATGATTGCATGGAATGTTCCTATAGCATCGCTCTTGCTGGCAGCATAAAACAGCACTCGGGTTTTCCAACATTCTGATCTGAGTTGGAGGGACAATTTCAGGCCTTTGCCATTTGAAAATCACGTTGGGGACATCATGGACCCTGAGACTGAGAATTGCACGCAGTGCGGTGTCAGGCCTGTCAGGCCTAAATCCCTGCTTCGTAAGCACGGTGGGGCAACCCAGCGAAGTCTACTTTCGGTCACGAAACATTTTGCAGGTTGGGACAATAATCAACTTTCATGATTCAAAGGTGCTCAACTGTTGAAGTGTCCGGGCTTCACAATCGAGGCGAGTGCTTCAAGAGTACCTCGCCATCGCGAGGCCGGAGTTGGCATTCCGATCTCGGCAGAAGCGTCACGATGAAAATGGGATTATGAGAATTTGTGCGCGCGGCGGTATGTTTGCGATGGCATTTTGAACTTGTAACGCAGAATCTGATTGCATATCTGTTTCTGATGCTCATACCGTTGGGCTCTTTGTAGAGCATTCCTGAGCTTTTCTTTGGAGCAGAAGGGACCCGACCAAGCGACGGTCCAGGTCGACTCGTCGACTCCGCGTTGGCGAGTTCCTCAAGGACGTGAACGCTCAGGCAAGCACCTTGACTTGGCGCAGACGTTCAGTCATTCCTCCAATGCTGAGTCGCGGCATTTCTGAAGTATAATGAAGTATATATACTTCTGCAGATGCCGTAGCACTTCATGTTTGCCCTCATCTTGCGCCTAACTCGATCTCATCCAAATCCCAAAGCAGCTCTCCGTTCTTCAATGATTTGCTACTCGTACCTTTGTTTATCTTTGATTCACCAATGTAAGGCAAGTTGTCGGGGCAGTATGGTCTACGCCAGGTTGGGAGGTTGCCGCACTTCTTCTCCTGGCAGGACGGTCTTGGCTGTGGATTGCAGGAACTGGGGAGCCTATTCACATGGCGGAAATGATGATAAACCGTGATAAACCGTGATAAGCCACTCGGTTTTGGGTGTCCCATGTATTTCCCATGTATTTTTCACAAAGCGACAGAACTTCCCGGTGTCCCCAGGGGGGCTGGCAGGTGGGAGCCGAAGCCGGCGGAGTGTCTCCTTACGCCCGGAAGCTGAGAAAGACCATCAGACACCTCAAGATACCTCGGGATACCTCGGGACATTGGTTGCGGGGTTGGATTTCTCTGATTTCTCTGATCCCAGCTTTGAGTTTTGGGTTTTTTCAATGTTTTTTACGTTTTTTTTTTCTGGGATCTCCTGGTGTCCGAGGTGCCAAAGCGGAGTTAACTGAGACAACCAAGCGATCGCCTGCTGTGCAAGATGATGTGGATATGGAGTTTGGGCGCTCAGTTGATCGAACAGGTCTGTGGGATCTTCAAATGTCATGTGGACGATTCCAAGTAGCCTGATCTCACCGAGATGATATGAGACGAATGATGATGATGATCATTTGCTGGTTGGTGGTTTCAAACCTGAATTTTATTTTCCATACTAATATGGGATAATCCTTCCCATTGACTAATATTTTTCAAGATGGTTAAAACCACCAACCAGTTTGATATTGTGGATCTTATTTGATGATATACATTTGGAGCTGCTGGAGTCACCAACTCTGATCGATCGCTGCTCAGCTGAACCTTTCCATTGCAGGGTAGTATGCAGCGTTTCTACTCGATTTCTTGAAGCGAACGAGTTTACACATTTTCGTTTCGCAGCATGGTATTCAGAGGTAATTACCCTCTGGTAAACTAACATAGCAATGGAAAATCACCATTTTTAATGGGAAAATCCACTATAAATGGCCATTTTCCATTGCTATGTTAGTTCACCAGAGGGTATCCCAATATGTTCCAATGTACATCTGAGCCTTGTGAACTTTCTGTCGAGACACTTCCATGGCTAAGGATGGAATTTGCGTCACGCGCCCAGGAAACCTTGCTGAAGACAGGCGTGGCAACTTGGCCCTGTTGGCCAACAGTGATCCTGTCGTCCCTGGTGATTTGTGCTGATGGTTTATGTCAGTTGATGTCAACCCTGGATGAATAAACCCCGTTTACGGCTGTGACTAATGGGGAGGCTACCATTTATGTACCATATTGTGACTATTTGGAGGGTACCCCATAATTAATAAACCACGGTTTATTAATCCGGGGTTGACATTATGTGCTTGTGACTGCTTGTGGCTTTCTGGTAGGTAGAGAACATGAGAAAGTGCTGAGCTCAGCCATCCCAGCTAGGGCTCAATTAGATGGCGCCATGGTTCTTGCTGGAGCCATTCGACAGATTTCCTTGCGAAATCAAGATGAAGTTAATGCTTTATTGATATTTATTGATGAGGTTTCAGAATTTCCTTAAACATCATTCAACAGGGTCTTGGAACTGTAGTGTGGACCCTGGGTTTCGATAGAGTTCGAGCTCAATATATGATGGTCTTCTTGTTCCACATGGTTTCAGCAAGCTGCTTCTGCCAGAATCGGTTTCAGCTGAGGGTGTGATGATTTGGAATCAGCCTGGCTGGGACTACAAGGACATTGCAAAGATTTTCGTGAGGTCTGGCAAGGGAGGCAGGTGTTGCAACACGTCGTTTTATCGGACCTGCTGTTGCTTGGTGCCATGGTATCGCACCTGCCGTTGGCCGCAGCCTAGCTTCGTGGCCATGTCGAGGCAATGGGTGTAAGTCCTTCCACCGAGAGATGTAGGGGGTCTCAGGGGCCGATGGTCCACGATTTCCAGGACTTAGACGATTGGATGATTTGCTGTGGATGATTTTCCCTTTCAACTTGGGACTCTTCAATTGCCACGACCGAAATCGTGGGAGGTTCATTTCTTGGGTGGGTACATGCTTCATGGATCTTCATGGCATTCAGCGCTGAGATGAGCAAAATAACTTGTTGGTTTCGCCCTGCATCAACCAGACAATGATCAAACATAGAGTCATAGAGTTGGAAACCAAACTAAAGATGATTTCTCGATGTCTCGCAGGTTTTCACTTGTCACAAGATGTCACAAGCAAATGGTGGTGTTGGTCGTTTGTCAACTGGAAGGAACATGCCTTTGATGGGTCCTGATGGTGGAGATGGTGGTGATGGAGGACATGTGTATTTGCAGCCCCTCAGACCTATTCAGACCTGCCTTCGCCAGCACTGTTTTGAAACTTCCTCGATATGGAAAAATCTGAATACTGACAGACTCATCTTAGATCTTTTAAAATCACTTGTATAAACTGCGTACCAGTGACGATAATATACAACGACTTTTGGACGCACTTCTATGATCCGAACAATGAATACTCTCCTCAGCAGTGTGATGCATCCGGTAACATACCTTGCGGAATCTGAGTTTTTTTAAGTGGCTGCTTTGTTTCCAGAAAAGTATGCACGAGGTGTCATGCACCGATGTCCAATACCTTGAAGCAGTTCAACGCCCAAACGTGCGAACCGCAGTGAAAACAGTGATCATCCTGGCGACGTGCTTCATTTTGTCATTGGATTTGATGACCTGGTTCAGTCTAAATGCACTTTGCAAAGCATTAGATGGGATCCAATTATTCGTCATTTTTTTGCGAAGTCTTTTCATTAGGGTGTTGGAATGTGTTGAACAGAACTTCAAGTGATCGAAAGTTTGGCTTTAGACAAGCTACACATTGAATGCGGCGGAGATTTCAGAAAAATATGAATCTGAACGGGGACCGCAAAACCGTGCCAGACACTACGCCGCTGGCAACGGCCTTGTCCGCTCCTGATGGGTCAAGCCTTTGGCACAAAATCATGCCCGACAGACACTGCCGACGTACGGTCATGAAATCTCATGAGCAAAAGGAGCAAAGCCCTGTGCAAAATGGATCAACATTCCGCAGTTGGTCCCAAGTGTGTAAGATCTCCATTGCATTCCAGTGCAGGTTGGGGAGGGCAGCAGTCGAAAAGGAAAGGATGGCAAAGACTTGATCTTGTGTGAGACCCAGCGACCAACCCCTTCAGTTTGGTGAAACTTGCTGAGTGTATGGGGCCCATAGGGTTAGTCTTGGCTGCGCTAAGGAAGGTGCCACCAGGCACTGTAGTCTGGGTGCGTGAACGGTGGGTCCCAGGATGTGAAAACAAGTCCAGTTGTCTCGACCTCAGAGACACATAGAAGACTATGACTGACAGTCGTCCAGTAACGTTCCAGGATAGAAGCAGCCACAAGTCTAAGATGAGTTATGAGATTTGGTGAGTTTCTTTTGGATTCTAGAGTTGTTTTTCCAGATTTAGATAGGATCCTCCTACAGTATTCGCAGCTTGCAGTTGTTCCTGCCCCATACTTGATTATACTTGATTCAATTATTGTCAAATCATCTCTGACCGGTGGAACGGCAACCGCATCGCATGTCCGCCGAGGGCAAGTGCCCTTTGAGAAGATGCTCATCCGAGACGAGGTCTGAAAGCTGGGATGATACACAGATGTACACAGTCGACGAAGGGGTCAGGAAATGAGAGGAGCACGGGGAGCCCTTCCCAGCGTTGTTTCCCCAATGTTGCGGATTCTGCGCACCACAAGGGCTTCTTAAGACACTGCCAACTGCAGGACATCTCCGAGCGTCGTTTGATAGGGGCCAGGTTCTTAGATGGTTAGCTATGCTTAGCTTTTCGTTTCTGCCGTACTTGGCTTTGAGTATTAATATGAGTGAAAAATAAAAGCCCGAAGGAGCAAGCAGAGAACTGACACATGGATACACATGGCTTTTGTATGATTTTGTATAGTTTCTTTTCATGAACTTTCAGTAAATTGTAATTTCATCAAAAACTTAGCGTATCCAAGTTTGACCTATGCCTCGTCGACTGAAGTTGAGCGTGACTTTATGACTTTCATGAAACGGCATTATATTGCTGGAGTTCAGACAGAAACTGGTTGGTGGTTTGGAACATTTTTTTTTCATATATTGGGAATAATCATCCCAACTGACTAATATTTTTCAGAGGGGTTGAAACCACCAAGTAGGAAACAACAGTCAGCTCATGATGCAGATTCCGTTGGCTTTTTTTCCCCCAAGGAATTGACGCAACATGGCCAACTGCTGCGAGTCTTTTGCTCAGCCACGGGTAAGCAGGTAGCCAAAGCCATGGGCTGAATGTTCACCTTTCAACATGTTTGCAGGAAACGAGACTGCAGGTAGGGTATTCAAAGAACTTGTACCAGCATGTTTCGGATTGTTGGATTTTGTGCTAAACCGTACTAAACGAGTTAGCGGAATAGTATAGCAACCCCCAAAGATAGAAAAGTAGCATTCCTTAAGAGGTAATTTGCTTTCCCCCTTTTAAACGGGGGTACTTTTTTTGTCACCTCATCTCTGAGGTTTGCCGCGGCGGCAAAGGTGGAAAGGGCAACGAATCCTTCAAGACCCATACGTACGCGACGCTCAGTGGCGGTGCCACTTCACAAAAACATCCAAGTGATTTGTGTTCGCTGGAGTCTCCAAGTTACTTGTACGATATTTATTAGCTATACAGTATATAGCTATATGATTGATTATTATTGAAATATTTGGTCGTCTACATATATAATTACATATTACATGATGCACTTCAACTTGCTGACAAACTGTGCCTGATCGGCTTTTGGATCCTGAGGAATAATGCTCCCTTCTTCTTCACCAAGGGGCAAACTGGTCGAGCAGCCCAGTTGCTCACGAGAGCAGTTCCCATCAGAAGCTAATAGGACGACTTCTTCAGTGTCAGTTCACCTACCCTCTGGTAAACGTTTACATAACTATAGAAAATCACCATTTTCAATGGGACAATCCACTATTTCTATGGCCATTTTCAATCATTTTCAATAGCTTTTTGTATGTAGAAACCAGGCCGTCAGGCCGGGTAGTCATTTCATCATGGGTACCTCGCCGGTCTAGCTGCTGAATCTGCTGAATCGTCACTGTTTGAAACATCCAAACGTCCTGTAGGCATCGGCCGTTGGATCGACCTGGAACTGAAGATCATCTCAGACGTTCGAAGCCGAATCATCTTGGGACTTTGCAGCGTGCTTCGGCATGTGTTGACTTTTTTCTCAATGTTTGTAATTAAAGCCTAATAATGAATCTGGGAACATCTATAACATAAACTTTTAGTATCTTTTAGTTTTAGTCTTCAGCTCAATCGATTGTGACTGAGACCGACAATTCTTTTCTTTACAGACGGTTTTTCACAATGCCCCGCAAGCTGCAACATTGAGAATCCTTCGAAGCCTATTGAAGCCACTGTCAGCTTCCCCAAAAACAGCAACTTCCAACTTCCAAGCCTGCATCCTGCGTACCCTGCGTACTGAGATTGGCATCATCGGCGTGCCAAATGCGGGGAAGTCGCCGGGGAAACTCAGATTCATTCATGGAGGTCTTGAACTTGTGGAGGCATGACATCAGCTGTGAAGGTTGGCATCTAGAAACTCAGTGTGTTTGGTGTCAAAATGTGTCAAAAATTCAGAGCCGATCCTGGCGTTTTTTTGCCCAGGTCTTTGCTCAATGCGGTCACAGACCACAAGCCCAAGATCGCAGCGTACCCTTTCTCCACCACACGGCCCAATTTGGGCCAGGAACTTGGGGACTGGTTAACCACTCCACCATTGACACAGAGCAAAGGCTGCTATCTCGTGATGTGAGTGTCACAAGGGATAGTAATACCATGTAATGCCTAGTTAGGGAAGTTGGTGATTGGATGGAGTAAGTAGAAGAAGTTCACATGCTGCATCGCTATTGTAACCAACTTGTTCACTATGCTCACTGGATAGATGGGCGGCTGGGTGGCACCAAATGACCACCATCCATCTCCCATCAGTGAATCCAGATACATCAATCTGCATGATGAGGGGGGCATCGCCAGTTGAACGTTTTTATCAGGCATTTAGACAACTTCCAGGTCCTGAATCGCTCGTGTGAGACATACAATGTCATAGTTTCCAGATGCTTCATGATGTTTCCAGGGTCCTGCACTGGCACCAGGTCATTGGCAGAAAGATGTACATGGCGGTCTCACCCTTGTGGATGTGTGCGGTCCTCATGGCAGATCACGCTGACGTTGCATCTTGTTGCAGTGTGAGGAGCTCCGATCAGATCATCAAATTCATCAAATCTTTCGTCACAAGTCACAGATTCTTTGACCGTGGGAAGGTTTTTTTGGATAAGAAATACAGCAATACCCAGGATCAAGAAATCTTATGGAATCTTCGGATTGGAAGTGTGGCCACAGGAAAATCAGGGGCCCATCGGGCAGGTCGGTGAGTGGGACTAGTCCAGTTTTTGCCAGGCCTGGTCTCATTGAGGGTGCAAGTGACGGCCGTGGAATGGGCCTGCATCCCAGTTATCCCAGTTTACGCAGACTGAAGCGTATTGTTGATGGCTGAGAAGCTCGCAAGCTGTGGGCATGAAACGACTGATTTACAATAATTCACAGATTTCATTTGTCAAGTTGTGACAGTGTGGACCATTTGCTGTGCTTTTATCCGCAAATCCAGCTTAATTTAGCAGAAAGATACAAGATTCTTCGAGTTTAAGAAGCAAGATGTATTCAACTCAAAGTTTCCGACAGAGATTTCAATGTCCTCTCAGGGCTGCACGGTATGTTTGATTGCTGGAACAGTTTTGTTTGGTGACTTCATCATCACTTATCAAAAGTGGCCTGCAGTGTCGAAGGATCGTCTTCTGTACTTGTACGGGATTAAGTCAGGCTACACGCATAGCCTGAACCTAAACCCCCATTTTATCTGGTCTGGACAGACGAAACAGAACTAGCAATGGACTTTGTTTCGAAGACCCTGAGGCATCCGCTTCTTGCGGCATATAGAGCTTCGGCCTCACCGATCGAACCTGGACCGGCAGTCTCGGGACACGACACATCGACATATCCTTTTCATCTTACTGGTGCTAAACGCAGGGAATTTTCGGGAATGATCCACAATAACCAGCAATAATTATCCCATTCCTCCATTCCCATCCACCTACTAAGCACCAGTAAGTCATTCCTCTTCCACAATTTCACCTCGCCAATTCTGAGGCGCTGTCAGAGCTTGATGCACGTCATCTCCGGCGATTCGGAGGACGCCACCACGCTATGTTGAACATATGTCATGATAGGAGTGTAGGATGGTTACCATCTGGTTATTTAACATAGCCATGGAAAATGGCCCATCTATAGATGGTTTACCTATTAAAAATGGTGATTTTCCATGGCTATGTTAAATAACCAGATGGTAGGAGATGTTAGGAGTGGTTTCTGGTGGAATGATCTGAGGATATATAATATATATATATAATATATATATATATATATAGCATTATATAGCACGATTTAATAATCATCTAAGAATATATAATAATAACAATGGTAATATACCTATTCGTAATACCATGCACCTTTTGTAGAAACCCACAATATCCCGCAATACATTGTGTAGTCTTGTCATGTGGGGTGGGGATTGTGTAGGGTGCGGTGGGCTATTGATGTTCATTTGAACACGCATGGAACTCTACGCTGTCCACATATTCCCAATAATAATGATGATAATAATGACTTATATTGCGCATGATAATGAACAGAATAATGCCACTAATAAGAATGGCGATAATGGTAATGATAGTGATTACAATAATCATATGCATATCAGCATCGAATGCGTTTAATAATTATTTTTTTAAACAATGTTCCGATACGTCACTGCGTTGCAAACAAGTCCGATAGTCACTTATTCGGAATGGGAATCCTCCTGGACATTGTCGCTCGTTGTCATCTTACTGGTGCTAAACGCAGGGAATTTTCGGGAATGATCCATAACAACTATTATAATCATCCCATTCCCACATTCCCATCCATTCCCTACAAGCACCAGTAAGTCATGTTTCGAATTGAAGAGGATCCAATTGGAGATTACGAGACGATTCAAAACGAGCTCAAGAACTACAGCACGCAGGCGCGCAAAGCCATGTGAAGGCCATGATGAAACCTGGCTGGTTCAATGGTTAGCAGGTTCTTCATCCAAAAGGTAGCTTTTGTAGAATCGTTTTATGGACAAGTTGATGCTGTTTTTGAAAAGGCCATGAAATCACTTTGGACGATACTAACGAGTGTTGTTTTGTCATTTTGGTCATACTATCCTATCTAAATGATCTAAATAAATCCTAATTCATACACCTATATTTATATAAATATATAGTTAATATTCTACATTATATATATATGATATTATATCTACATCATATCTACATCATCATATATCCACATCTCAAAAAATCCCTCCATTCAGCACCCAGGTCGCCCCAGCATTTCTCCCAGGTCGCCCTGAAACCGCAAGTCATTGTGGTCAACAAGGTCGACCTACCGGAGGTTCAGGCAGGTCTGGGAGATGCAGAAGATGGAACCAGGATGGACTATACAAATCACATGCATATATATATATAAA